AAGAAATTAACCTTGGCCATAACTTTTAAACTGTTGCTGCTGTGGCTTTCATACTAGTATATTTTTCACAGTATATTCTTTGTTCAAGACCTTTATTTGGGTAATAACATTTTTTTTATCTTTTGATCTTGACCATGGAGTTTGACTTGCATTTGAGAAACTTTAACTTTTGCCATAAGATGCCATATGGGGGCATCAGTGTTTCAAAAATCACACGTTGTTCAGTATCCAAATCGGGCATAAAACATTTACAATGATCCTTTAAAGCAGTGAGTTGAACCTAATAAATTACGACTATAGAAATTATGATAATTTATTTCGATGTATGGTCTAAAAAAACGTTTATTATACCTCTGTGAAAACTAGCTTACAAGTGAAAAATCACTAGTAAAATAGAATTTGATTGGCCGAGAAAGTCACGTGTCCATCATGTTTGCCCTACAACAAAACGTCGTGTTTCACGATTGTGACGTCACAATTAAACGAGTGAGGAGTTAGATTGTTTATAGCGACGCTGCTAACTTCGTTCGCGCGGTAACAACAACTAAAAATTCACCCCAAAAAATCACCTTAATTAATGGAATTGCATACAGATAGTACATTAAACATTCTTTGTTAAAATGTTTGCACTTTTCAAAATTCGTTTATGGAAGTACAGCTAACATACGTCATGAGACGTCACAGTCTAGACGTTCCAAATGTCTGAAGAATGCTGTTTGAAGAGGCGGATCTTAAAATTAAGTGAACAATGCACTCGCCCAACGGTCGCACCGTCAACATATTATCGTTGATTGATTGTGTCGATTTAAATGTGTAAAAATGTAATGGTGTTTGAATGTTACTGGTGTGATCACACAAACTTGTCACGTAGGATTTTTTTTAATGAAACGAGGCTGTTGGTGTACCTGTAACTTACATCTCTTTCATATCGTTCTCATCAAATGCATGTTTGCTTTATTCATTGGATCTCCTTTGTAATTCCTGCATTTTGGTTAATTCGGTATTATAAACAATTTATTGCATAATAGAGACATAAAGATTTCTTCGCAAATGAAAAATCATATTTCCCTCGGGCGTTGCCTTCGGGGAGTATGATTTTTCATGGGCGAAGAAATCTTCATGTTGCCCTCGCGGAATATGATTTTTTATGGGCGAAGAAATCTTCATGTCTCCCTCACTATCATGCAATAAATGCAAACTGTGAACTTGTCAAGTCCGAAACACACAAAAGGGTATCGCTGATATCATACAGAGTGTATCATTGCCTTGATCAGGCCCATAGGAAGCAAATTCAGTTTTTAGCTCACCTGAGCCGAAGGCTCAAGTGAGCTTTTCTGATCACATTTTGTCCGTCGTCCGTCCGTCCGTCTGTCTGTCTGTCTGTCCGTCCGTCTGTAAACTTTTCACATTTTTGACTTCTTCTCAAGAACCACTGGGCCAATTTTGACCAAACTTGATACAAAGCATCCTTGGGTGAAGGGGAATTTAAATTGTTAAAATGAAGGGCCAAGTCCCCTCACAAGGGGAGATAATCAAGAGAAGACAAAAATAGGGTGGGGTCATTAAAAAATCTTCTTCTCAAGAACCACAGGACCAGTAAAGCTGAAACTTATATGGAAGCATCCTGGGGTAGTGTAGATTCTAAATTGTTCAAATCATGACCCCCGGGGGTAGGGCGGGGCCACATTGTGGAATCAATGTTTTACATAGAAATATATAGGAAAAATCTTTAAAAATCTTCTTCTCAAGAACCACTGGGCCAGAAAAGCTGAAACGTATGTGGAAGCATCCTGGGGTAGTGTAGATTTTAAATTGTTCAAATCATGACCCCCGGGGGTAGGGCGGGGCCATAATAGGGAGTCCAAGTTGTACATTGAAATTAATAAGAAAAATCTTTTAAAATTCTTCTTCTCAAGAACCACTGGACCTGAAAAGCTGAAACTTATGTTGAAGCATGCTGGGGTAGTGTAGATTCTAAATTGTTCAAATCATGACCCCCGGGGGTAGGGCGGGGCCACAATAGGGAATCCAAGTTTTACATTGAAATATATAGGAAAAATCTTTAAAAATCTTCTTCTCAAGAACCACTGGGCCAGAAAAGCTGAAACTTATGTGGAAGCATGCTGGGGTAGTGTAGATTCTAAATTGTTCAAATCATGACCCCCGGGGGTAGGGCGGGGCCACAATAGGGAATCCAAGTTTTACATTGAAATATATAGGAAAAATCTTTAAAAATCTTCTTCTCAAGAACCACTGGGCCAGAAAAGGTGAAACTTATGTTGAAGCATGCTGGGGTAGTGTAGATTTTAAATTGTTCAAATCATGACCCCCGGGGGTAGGGTGGGGCCACAATAGGGAATCCAAGTTTTACATTGAAATATATAGGAAAAATCTTTAAAAATCTTCTTCTCAAGAACCACTGGGCCAGATAAGCTGAAACTTACTTGGAAGCATCCTGGAGTAGTGTCGATTCCAATTGTTTAAATCATGACCCCCGGGGGTAAGGCGGGGCCACAATAGGGAATCCAAGTTTTACATTGAAATATATAGGAAAAATCTTTAAAAATCTTCTTCTCAAGAACCATTGGGCCAGATAAGCTGAAACTTACTTGGAAGCATCCTGGGGTAGTGTAGATTCCAATTTTTCAAATCATGATCCCCGGGGGTAGGGTGGGGCCACAATAAGTACTACGGGGGGGGGGAAGAGAAATCAGGTGAAAAACAGCAAGGCCAAAGTTACTCAGGTGAGCGCTGTGGCCCATGGGCCTCTTGTTTTTTTTTTGGGGGGGGGGAGCCACACATTTTCAGTTGACAGTTGAGGGGGCACTACTACCATAAATTTCCTGACAAGCAAAAAAAAAAAAAAGGTCACCAACTACCAAAAATTCCTTGACAAGCAAAAAAAAAAAAAAAGAAGGTTATCAGACGTTTTTATTGAGGTGGCACAAGCTATAGTATGTATGTCTACTATAGTAATCTATACATCGGCAAAATTATTGGGGGGCACGCCCCCCTCGGTTCCTACGGCCATGTTGATTAAATTTAGGGTCACTAAGGAAAGAATGTTTTGACTGGATGAATGGTCTGAAAGAACATGTGTTAACTTGTCGATTCGGTAACACATAGATGGGGTTTTCTTATAACCAGAGTGTGTCATGGTTTGATGCAAGGTCATTTGAACGAGTTCAAGGTCATCAACGAAGAAACAACATTCCTTAACTGTCTTTCTACTGGTGAGACATTGCAAGTTGATACCCCTTACAAGATTGCTTATAACCTTAGAATGTGGCATGACCTTGACTCAAGGTCACTTCTTCCTGTTCGCAGCTCCAACGGAAGACCTACTCGTTGCTTTGCAACGAGCTCTGCTCTAGTTTTCTACTTGGTGTTTTAATGAATTACAAGGTTTTTATTCGAATACCTGGTTAATATCACGTGGTTCTTTAGAACCTGTCTCGTTAGCAAGGCTATATATAAGAGGTGAACAGTTGTTTAAATGCCAGTTTAGGACGACATGTAGAGAACGATAAAAGTTTAAATTTTATCTATATTTATTCAATCCAACATTACGAAATACATGTATATAATTATGGATTTTCAAATTTTACATGTTATATGTACATTATACAATAAAGCTGCTACGTGTCGTTGCTATGTCCAAATAGTGTGTTGTTGTTTATTGTACTTTCATTTGAAAGTAAAAAATGAATTTAAAGTAGAAAGTGGGTAAATTCTTTTTTTTTACCTGGACATTTAGCTGCAGACTGTGAATTCGGTACAAGGTATTATAAAGAGCAATATACTGTAAAATTCACGCTCTAATTATCTCGGGATTGGGTTTATTTTCAGCTCGTCGTATATTAGGAATGCATTACCTTAAAGTTACATTTTACATTTACCTTTGTCAACCTAGAAAACATAATTTTAATGAATGTTCAAAGTTCTAACAAAATTATGAAATTATCTTTGCTACGGTGTATACCGAAGGGTAGGGTTAAGTTGGTCATATATAGATTAAAATTCATTATACCTTTTAAATCTTGATTTAACCTCGAAATTTACTGTAAGCAATAAGCTTATGATAGCAGTAAGCTACGGGTCCTTCACCATTATGCAACATTTTGTCTTCAGATGGGGCTAAGTTAATTAAACATGTATAAGGAAAATGAATTAATTAAATGAACTAACATCTCCACTTCAGAGCATCTAGGAGGCAAATATAACTGACGGGGTGTATTTGTCAGTCAAACACTGACTCTGGGTTAGTCTGAGTTTTCCTCTTATTGTTGAACCCAGTCATAAAACCAACACGCGTTATTAGTTTTGAACTTTTATATAGAATTGGGTGGGATATACTTTTACATGCGTTTGGATGAATCAGTACCAAAGGTCTGATTCCAATTAACTATCATTTTTATGCCTTCGCCATAAAATCGCCGTGGCATATAGTGTTATCCTGTTCCGTCATTCTGTCATTCCGTCATCAATCACTTTCCGTTTATTATCTCTGCAACAGTTGTACACATTCAACTCAAATTTGAAATATGGATACGTCATAGGAATACGCGGATCAGATTTGAAATTGGTCGTGGTCCGATGATTTTTTGACTGAGTTATCCCTCCTGAACTTAGAAAAAATAAGAAACATTCAGTTTCCGCTCTCTAACTTTTGTTGGGATCTATTTATAAGGTTGAAATTGCATATGCAGGTACTTTCCAAGAAATACAGGTCAAGTTTGAATTTGGTCATGGTCCTATGATTTTTGACAGAGATATCCCTCTTGGACTTAAAAAAAACAAGAAATTTCCAGTTTCCGCCTTCTAACTTGTGTAGGGATGTATCTTTAAGTTTGAAATTCCTTGTGCAGGTATTTACCAGAAAATACAGGTCAAGTTAAAATTTGGTCATGGTCCAAAGATTTTTGACAGAGTTATCCCTCTTGAACATAGAAAAATCATGATGTTGGCATTACAGTTCAATACATAACACAACACAGAAGTTCTAATGTAACTAAATTGTCATATTTTTTTCATGTAGAAAGATTACACTTCATGAAATATCATTTTGGCATGTAAACACACATCATCATTATGATTAATTTCAAACTGAATTTCTCCTTTCTCATGACTTGACTCCCAGGAATGAACACTAAGTTCATCTCCCATTGAGGATTCCTTCCTAAATCCTGCCTCAAATGATTTCAAACACTTTCCAACCATTCCTTTGTCCACCCTTGTATATTTGTTTTTAAACACACTGTCATAAAAAGCCTCCATACAAAAACTGACATAACTCTGCCAGTTTGTGTGAAGGTAGGCATCAATGTCCGAATAAGATACCTTTGTATTGTATGTTTGTATTACACCAGACTTTTCTAAATGCGGCATTATGATTGGTTGTCCTGTAGGTACATAAGGAGTGTATTTCTCTCTCCACCAATCAGGATAAGGCATTGGTCTCCTTGTTTTACCGTTGACTAAAACTGTTTGAATTCTACAAGTGGCATACGGAAAGGTCTGTGAAGGACATTCCAAAACACTGGTTAATGCCGAGGAAGATTTTCCAATATAATCAAGTGTTTTTGTAATTACAAGAGGATATTTTGGAGAAAATTCTTCGTAGAATCTGCTATCAATGTCAATGCTGGTAGAAGCTATGAAATAGAGGTTGTTTTTCAGTAACAAATGACTGTCCAAAAATGTCTCATTAGGATTTTTGACGGGCCAAAATGAGTAAGCCCGGGCCGATTCAAATAGCAGGAATAAGCTTCTCACCAGAGGTCTACCATCTGAAACATATTTTAATTCTGCCATTATAGTTCCAACTTATTTTAAGTAATCAATGAACATATACATTGCTCTCATTATTATATAAGATCATGTTTGTTCTATCTTTTGGATCCTCCTCTTTTTTTTGTAAATCTTTGTTGCTCCTCCAGAAGAATAAAATCTTTTATCTTGTACAGCATTTTAACAGTAGGCTTGTGTCATTAATATTTACTATAAGATATTCTTATATATGTATACCAATAAATTAAACCACTTTGATGTAGTTGTGGATGTGCTGATATATGTATTTGTTATACCTTTAAAACTTTGTCCCTATTTAAATCAATACTAATAAAAGTCTAACATTTCCAATGTTTTACTGAGCGGGCATAAAAAAATCAATGTTTGACCGCGGAGTGAGATATTGGTCCTGACGATGAGATGTTGGACCGCTTACGTCACATAATGGGTGGGGTCAGCTAAATCTCATTTGCATTCGTTGGTGTTCGACATACAGGTATGTCAAAAAAAAAATAATAAAATAAATAAATAAAAGGTATAACAAAACATTTATTGACTGTGTTCTCAGGCAAAATGAGTTTTGTCGACCCCTCGAACCAAACAGTTTGGTTCTTGGGTCCGACAAAACGCATGTTGCCCTCGAACCCAGTCAATAAATGTACAATATTCATTAAAAAAACACGATTTTTTTATTGCAATATATATCAACAAGTGTACTTAATAAAATATCTGATTTTACATCAGTCTTCCTTTTTAGACAACTTTATTTTTAACTAAAACTCTGATGATATCAATTAAACTATGATTCTATCATTTTCTTTCAATGCTCAGTGATGGTGCCTCTATTTCACACTTACCCACAGAACTAAAAGCTTCGTATGACAGACCCCCTGGAATGTCTATCCTCACTTGGACTGGGCTTATGTTGGTCTTTGTATAGCAGAGCTGCTTCGCAATTCTGGAAATGCATATTTTAAAATCAGAAGCCAAATAACAAATTGGTACATACTTCTTAAATCAATTTTTATATAGTACGCATGCAAAGATTTACTTATACAGTCAAACCTGTATAACATAATTTAGTAACCTATCAAGGAATTTTCTACATTGTAAAATGGTTACATATGACAGGTAATCTCTTTAAGCAGGGAATCATATTCTAGCAATTTTCAGAGTACACACATATAAATAGTAAATATTGTATAGCAGGAATATTTAGCAATCATCTATTTTTGACATTACATGTATTAGGTTTTTGTATGTTACTAATAATTCAATCATAAATATTGTATAAGAAAATATAAAAGAATTATCCCTAAAATTGCAAAATTTTACTACACTTAATATAAATTACAAGGTAGAATAATTGGTAAGTAACTTTTGGGATAAAATTGTTAATTTTGTTGGTTGCTAAAAATAAAATACTGTATGCAGGGTTATTTTTGCCCTGTATTATTTTCACCCTTTCAAACTTGCAAACAATTTAACCCCATTTTAAATTCGCTCAGTCACAGTTTTGTTTAAGAAATTATGCTGTTTTCTTTGAATTCGCCCCATTTTAAATTCGCCCACCTGTAAGTAGGGCTAAAGGGGCGAAAATTAAAATGGGGGTAAAAATTTACCTGTATACAGTAACTAATTATATGGTAGTATTACTGAACATGTTTTCTCCCCCTGTTCATCGTAGTTTTGAAACATTTTCATTTTTCTTGATATTAAATACATGTATACTCACTAAATATTTGTTGAGACAAATTGTTTTATTCCTAATGGCATTAAGTGTTAATTTAATTTCTGAAATACAATCCAGAACAGGTTGTTTTTATCTTGTTTCACACTTTTACAAAAGGTTTAAAGATATAACAGCATCTTGTGACAAGATTATGTCCAAAAGGGAAGAACAACATAACAAAAACAATAATTACAAAGAAAACACAAGGTTTTTAAAGCACAAATTTAATAATTTTATAAATTTCTTGTCGAAACAATTCAAAGTTAAACTATAGCTACTTTTAATGTTTGTTTATTAATACATTTCTATTTGTTACCATATCACACACTTATTGATCTATGAGTATCTATTTGCAACATATCTTTCTACAAACTTGGGGGAAGGGACAAAATCTAAGCACTTTATTACTTTTCTTTTATTGAGAGCAGGACTGAAAGTTGTTATATTCAGGGTCTTAAAATGCTTTAGAAAAGAAGCTTAGAAAAAGAAAAAGACTAAAAACAATATGACTCCAATCTTTGATCTACGATTTCAGAGGAAAAAATAAATGTTTAGATTGATTTAATTTCAAAAAAGGGTACTAGGGTGTAAAGAGGAGATGAGAGATAGAGGGTGATGGAAATGGGGAGTTCAGTCCAGGTAAGATGACAGACAGAAGAAAAATATATGAGGTTTAGGAAGAAGAGGGAGGAGGAAGAAAATATCTATTTAAGAAGGAAACAAAGGGCAGAAAAAGGAGGTAAAAACAGGGAGAAGGGGGTTTGAGGATAGAGAAAGAGGGTGCAAGAGGAATAAAGGTGCCCAGATTCCCAAACTTTCCAACATACTTAATAGATTCAAGTAGAGACATAGATGCTATTTATATTTATGTCACTGATTCAAGACAAAGTACAGACCTATTTTCAATAAATAAGCACAACAGTTACTACAGAGTGTTCTCCATTTTGGCAAGGTCATTTGGAAAAGACAAATCTTAAATACTGCAGATTTGCACCCCTCAAAGATGTTGGGCAGACAGGGCAAAGAGGGGGGTACTGGAAAGCGGGGATGAGAGAATGGAGCCGAGGATGAGAGGAGCGGGGAGGTTTAAATGTCGAGAAGAGAGAGCTTGAAGAGGGAGTCAGCAGAGTGAAATGAGCATTGATGAGGGAGAAGGGAAGCCACTAGCCACACTCAACCTCACAAAACTGAAACAAGACTGGCACTGCCAATGGGCTGGCACTGCACCTATCTTCTGCATTTTTTTATGCATAAAATAAAAGTATGTAGTTTATGAAAATAACATTTTATGCCTTACGATGACCAAGATCTAAGAAGTCTCCCTGCAGGCATTTCTTCTTTACTTCGCAGTGATGATAGGGTTTTTGACCTTTTGGCATGCAGTTACACTGACCTACATGTACCCGTTTTTTATGTCTCTGCCGTAACTGTGCTAAAAATTGACCTAAATGATATCCTAGTCTTTTTACGCATATATGAAAGCTTATCCAACGACGAAGACTAGATTGAATGATTTTACATGGAATATTTCATGCATAAAAATTACTTACGCCCATCTTCCAAAGGTATGCCCTATTCGTGCCGAAATCGGTGCCATTTCGGAATTCAGCTACATCGGTTTCTGTATTTAGCGTGCAATTAGGATTTCCAGCTGGAAGTGCATGGAAGGGAAAAGATAGCGAATGTTGTGAACATGGATTTCCCAGTTAATAAAGGTAAATTAGGTCCCAAAAGTTACTTACCAACATTTAGAAATTTTTTATATGAGATGTTAGCAAAATTTTCTTGATGAAATATACACACAAAAATGAATTTTCCTAGAAGAAAAGAATGCATGTTTTTAAATATATATCACATATATTCTCACATAATCCGTCCATATGTGCTATTTGGATGTCGCAAGCAATTTAAATTACATTATTATTAAAATAATTGGTAAATTTTGTAGTATTTTGTTTGTGATACATCTAGTTCAGGGTTGTGGTTAACTTTTGAAACCTTAGGGGACATGTGGGCTCCTAACTTTTCAAATTTTACGGGCCCACAATGTGATCCACGGGCCCACATTATATGTAAATTAAAAATAAGAACACAAAAATCCTAATTTTTTTTCCGTAGTATCTATATGTTCGCAGAATATGGATTTTTGTCACGTTTTCTCTTTTCTAAAAACTTTGATCCGATAATATGTTCATTACATTTTGTAGTATTTAACCTTAACTTATACAACTGAAGCGTCTATGGTTTAACAAGGGGCATATTAAATAATAAATTACAACCTGTGATTAAGTTTGATCCCGATCTTTTATTGTGTGCATTTGACATGGTAATTCAAATTCTATCTGTGAATAACTAGTCGAATGGCGAGTGTGACAACCATAGCCGATTGTTACAATATTTCTATAAGAACAATCTCAAACATTTGCTCTCGTATCATCAGATTTAACGGAGATTTAACCGCTTCGATAAATTGCCATTTTTTATCTCAGTCACATAGATGTTTGAGTAATATGCTTGTACGCAACACAAATAATCTAAGTTAGTAGAGCGTTTTCTTAAAAAACTGAAAGTACATAAAATAAAACTGAAATGTGATTATGTTCCGGTAAAAAAATCGTTCGCCATGTGGGCGACCAGATTTTTAATATCTAGTCGCCCACCGCAAATTTTACTCGCATTTGCGAGTGGGCGAGTGGTTATCCACAACCCTGTAGTTACCAAAACCAACATTGTTAAGTGTTAATACACAGGTTAAAACTTCCCTTGGATCCAAGTATATTGTCTAATAAATGGCTTTTCGATCTGTCGCTTAGGCAAAAGGCAAAGTTTGGACCATTGAATAAAACAAAGCAATTACATTTTATGCTAAAAGTTACAACTTTTACATATAACAATGCATGAATATATTGAATTTTCACACTTTTAGATATTTGTCTAAAGTGAAATTTTTAAATTATATAAAATAACTTTGTCGCTAAATTTCTGTAATTTACATTATCAAAATCTTAGTATTTGTGTAAACAGCATAAAAGGGTATCTAAAAACATAAAACATCTAGTAGAATATCCAACAAAGTCCATAAAATGCAACCAGAAACAAAGAAAAGTTGCATGACAAAATAATCACAGAAACACCAAAGGTGAGTGGTTCATTTTAAGGATGTATTTTACATTATCAACGATACTTAAAGGATACAAGTAAAATTGTCTCTGCATATTAATTTATTTCTTTTTCCTGACCTACCAAACACGTAAAATATTAAAACGAACATTGATCTGTGCGAGCACACATTTTACACCAATTAATCTGATAGAAAGTAATTTACGTTATGTAAATTTATGTTTTCAGTATAATACACATATGGTATATATCTTGCAAATAAGATGTCGGGACAATACAGAACCATGCAGGAAACGTTATTGGTTTTTTTCTCGAAAGCATCTTAACATCACTTAACTTCCGATGTAGATCTCATGCAGGAAGCACCATCAGATAACATAAATTACGTGTTACCTTTAACAACTTTCAAATGATTTGTCAAAGATGTATTTTTGGCGTGAATTTCAATTGATTTTACAAACAAGGTGTACTTCTATTTATTTGTAGCAATATTTCACGCATAAATCTCTCTTCATTGATTACTTAATGAAGCAAAACATTCATAACGTAAATTACAGTAAAAATAACATAAATTAAATATATTTTAATTGCCTTTCACTGTAATTATATTTCATAGATTTCATTTAACAGAGATGGTAAAGTCAAAAGCAGAAATTAAAAAAGCATATGGGGAATAAAAGAAGATAAAGTAGGGAGAGGCATACATAGAGAAAGATAGGAAAAAATACATACCAACAGCAGCTCTTACATTGTCATCATATTTAACTGTGAATCTCTCAAAAGGATGAAAAATAATCAGTGTTTGTGACATTTTATGGGTCATTGAAAATACTGCATGTCATTTAGATGGGTGAAAATAAGTTCAAGAAAATATTAATTTTTGGTTTGAATAGCAATAAAATTGTAATTTACGTTATCAATATCTTTCACTAAGAAAATCGATTTAGAATTTTCACTGTCTCTTCCCAAATTAAATTTTAAAAATCCTCTTCTCTTCAGGATTCATAAACATAAAATTAAGTCGCACAGGAATTCAGTTTAAACATTTCTAGCAAAAAGGAACAGAATTATTTCAGTTTAAAATTAAGATTAAAGCAAACAAAATTTGTTAATTACAAATTAAGAGAAAAATACTGGCACAAAAACAAAATTTTCGAAATATTTTTTTTGAGTACAGACACAGTGCTAAAAAAAACAAGTGAAACTGAATATTCATTTTGGCAATAAAACAATTTTTTGATGGGGTCATTTCGACCTAAGACAATAACGTAAATTACGAAGGTAAATACACTACCTGTATTGTTTATTGAATATTTTTGTCATCATGCATGGTTGAGTTCTGATATTTTGAAAAATAATTCTCCCATGTGTTGTTTGCTTAAAAACATTGACTTCTCCCCCAAATAACGACTTTATTTTTTTTTTTTGAAAGTTAGGTTGCATGTGAACGGATTATGTGAGAATAGGTGATATATATATATATATATAACTACTTGGTTTTTAAATCTGAGGCTTACGCCATTTATAGTTCATGCTTATTTTACTTTCAGGTAAACAGAAAGGTAAGAAGCCTGTAAATGAGGAAGAGTTACTCGAAGTTCCAGAGGGATGGAAGGAACCGGGAATCACTAAGGATCAGAACCCACATGGCATGGTCAGCGAGAGCTCATTTGCCACACTCTTTCCCAAGTACAGAGAAGCCTACATTAATGAGTGCTGGCCGCTTGTCAAGAAAACATTAGGAGAACATGTAATCAATTTATATTATTATTGTCACCAGACCTTTTTTAATAGTAATTCAAAAATGGATCAGATTTTACCTGCTAATTTATTTAGAGCCTCACATGGAAACTCATAAGATATAAAACACACATTCTCGCATTTTTTTTTTTTTGTTTATTTGTAGAATATCAAGGCTGAGTTGGATGTTGTGGAAGGAAGCATGACTGTACAAACAACCAGAAAAACCTGGGATCCATACATCATCATTAAAGCCCGAGATATCCTCAAACTGTTAGCCAGAAGTGTACCCTATGAACAGGTGCTCCTGTTATCTTTTATGTAGAGCAAATCACGTAATATGGATTTTGTTCTGTTGACTGAGTGATCTGGAAGTAAAACATAAATATAAGTGTAAAACCAATATACAATAGAAAAGTAATTTTTGAGAATTTTAAAAAATTGATTTCATTGTTATTTCAGGCTATTCGAGTGTTAGAGGATGATGTTGCATGTGATATTATCAAAATTGGTTCTCTGACAAGAAACAAGGAAAGATTTGTCAAAAGACGACAGCGTCTGATTGGACCAAATGGATCAACTCTCAAAGCGATTGAAATTCTAACTGATTGTTATGTTCTGGTACAGGGAAACACTGTGTCTGCCCTAGGTCCATACAAAGGACTCAGAGAGGTGAAGATTTTCCTTACTGATCATAGCAAATATAAAAACACTGTAATTCTACATGTTTTATGAAGAAGTATATTTTGCAGGATTTTTTCATATTTTTTCACACATTTGATAGTTATTTTCATTGTAAATCATTGATGTGTTTGTAATTACGAGTGTATCAACTTGCTTAAAATGTAATTCTTGTATTTAATGAAACTTGGTAAACTTGAGCATCTAAATGAGACTGTGAGATCAGTTTATGTCTGTTTATGAGGATATGTCTAACTTTTTACAATTTAATTATTGTTTGAAGGTCAGAAAGATAGTTGAGGACACCATGAAGAATATTCACCCCATCTACAACATAAAGGTAGGTAATACTGAAAAAAAGAATAATATGCTAAATATATGAAGGGCATAGAGTTATATGGGCCTTGATGTAAGCCTCACTCCATTTTATAACACAAAAAGTCAGCCAGCAAGTTTCAGACAGTAATGACTGGTAAATAATTTCATACTGCTGAGAAAAGTGGAAATTCAAATTATTGTTCCTGTGAATTCCAGTTTAAATATCCTTTCATTTCTCAACAAATAATGTTGGTTTAATTGAGCTGTTGTCTTCTTTATATTCTTATTAGAAATTATTACATATATACATGATTGATGAAGTCATATGATGTTAAGTCCAATATATTTTTAACACAAAAAAAGTCATTAATTTCCAAATCAACTTTTTTTTTCTCTACATTTTCTATTGAACCTTGATATCAAAAATACTATAAGTATTTTTTTTTTTGTAGACATTAATGATTAAGAGAGAACTAGCAAAGGATCCAGAACTCAGAAATGAAAATTGGGAAAGATTTTTACCGAAATTTAAGTCAAAGAATATCAGTAAACGTAAGCAGCCAAAGAAGAAGAGGGTGAAGAAGCCATATACACCATTTCCTCCTCCTCAACCGGAGAGCAAGGTTAAAAAAATCAAAATTAAATTATAAAAATGAGCATATTTTTGTTTTAAAAATAGTATGGTAAACACTGATCAAATCTTAACATCCTATCCTTAATATTTTTATCATCATAAGTCTTAAAATAATGTCTTATCGTATATAAAATAGTTACAAAAATTACCTATCTTTCTAATGCTTTTAACAGTATTTGTAGTTTAGATAAAAGTTGACAAAAAAGACCTGTAAATTTATGATGGATAGGATTGTAACTGATCTCTCTTTAATACAATAAAGATTACTTCTAAGTCAAGCATTTATCTTGGTCCTGCTTTGTAGGTTGACAAAGAACTGGCTTCAGGAGAATATTTCTTAAAACCTCAACAAAAGAAGGCCAAGGTACAACAGGAGAAAAAGGTTAGTTGTTGCTAAAATACAGAGGTAAATTATTTTGAAATTGTCTGAGTCAGAATAGTCTTTGTTGGAAAATGTAATAATGATGAGGCATTTTTATTATCTCAAGGAGAAACAGCTGAAAGCTGTGCAGAAAAGTCAGGAAAAGCGAGCCAAGGCCTTTGTAGCTCCCAAAGAAGACACAGCTCCACCCAAGAAAAAGCAGAAAGTCACAGGTATGTACTTTGTTGTGAATATTTGTATTCAAAATGGGTTTATCAGTTTAAAAAAAAATATACAAGATAGTTACACAGAATCCACAACAGAAAAATTCTTCTGAGCTTTTTGTTTATATGTTATTAGAGGTTATAAGAAGTAAACTCATGCTTACCTTCACAAGTGTTTATTTAAATTGTTAAAAGAATATCTGTTTTTAATGACAGATTGTTTCTTGTTTTCAGAGGATGTTAATGTGGAAGAATTAAAAAAGAAAATTAAAAAATCACAGGTAAGTCTTTATTGCATAAAGTAATCAGTACACCATACCTCAAGTGAAATATCTGCCGTGTTCTTTTTTTCATGCTATGTTCCACCAATGCAAATAATAGGAGATATTTAATAGATTTGAATTTCCTTTGAAAAATTTTCCAGAAGAAAAAAGTAGGAAAATCTTGATACACACAAAGGGAAATGGATACTGTTGGGCTTTCATAGACCACTGAGTTTGACAGAACTGTGTGGAGAAAGACCGAGGACCTCAGTAAAATTTGACTGAGAAAGACTGGACCTCTGTAAAGTTTGAATCTGAACTAAAATGTTGTTCTGTTGTTTGTTATGATCATGATCGGCATGAAATTGACTTTGAATAAACTACATGTATTGTGTAGTAACATAGTTCAGAAGGAAAACTGTATTGTACAGGCTGTTTCCAGTGAATTGTTTGATTGAATGTACATATATAAAATAAAGTACTAGAATTTACTTGTTAGTATTTTTTAATTCTCCAGCAAAGTGATGCCTCTCTACCCAGATTATTTTTATAAAAGATTATCAATATGTCTTTGACAAGATCTAATCTCATTTTGGTTTATAGCCCTGTTTAGTTGTTCTTAAGTTTCTCTATAGTGCTCAGTCTGTTCTACTTGTCCGGTATGTATTTTCTCTCCCCTTTCCCCAGTCTGGCTCAAATTTCACACATAAAGAACCTGTAGTTAAAATTTTCTAGGTCAAAAGTCAAGGCAAAAAAAAAATCTCTGTGTAGAATCATGACCAGGGTAAAAAAAAACAAAACAAACCCCCTGGAAACGGGGGAGCATCACCATGAGCCGGCCGTCAGTCATCTGTATTGTGTAAATGGAGTATTCAGTTATTAGTGTTATTATAAGAATGATAACCTAACATATCGGTCAAAATCAGACCAAGCGATAGGTTGTTTTGCAAACAAGATCATTGTAACAGCCGTAGAGTAGCCCACGTGGTGCAGAGGCTAGAGCGTTTACTCTAGAGTCGCGGAGTAAGAAATTGATCATTATGTCGCGAATTCGAACCCTACTGCGGGATGTGGGGACCAGTCCTTCTGATGAGACCATATAAACCAAGGTCCTGTGTCACCGTAGGTGCTGGCAAGAAAAAGATCCTTCACTGCTCAAAGGCCGCAAGTGCCGAGTACAGGTCTAAATTTGCAGCCCTCCACTGATAAGTGGTGGCTTCTCCGTATGTGTGAAAAAATCTCGACATTAAACAAACGACCACAGAATTTGAAAAATGTTAAAAACAAGATTGGTGAAAGCTCTGCAACATCAACGTATTTGTCAATAGCCTGCCTCTGTTTAAAATTTAGCATACTGTGAACTTGATTTTGTGTACTGAATCAGATGAGAGACATTAATGCCATATGCATGTGATATTGGAATATTAGTGCATAAACAGGGGAAGTTGTCGCTTAAAAAGCTGAACGTTTTCTCGTTTGGCAAATAGTTTAGTTGTTAGTTACCATTAGTGTCTATAGTCAGTAAAACACTCAGATATGAAACCCATATGGCAGACTCTGTGGTGTCTTTTATTTTGAGTTCACTTGGGTATATCGAGTCGAGTATGTGTGAAAATAACTACTGTTTATTGATAAAACACCCTTGATATATTTAAATGTCGAACTGAAAGCTACAGCAAGAGTTTTCTTCATGTAGAAGTTTTTTGAATAAATTCTGCTTCATAAAGGTATTCTAAAATATGCAACTGACAAAGGAGCACAATTAGTGCCCATCGCAGTTGCAACAAATTGTTTGAAGACTTGGTCTCTGGACTACTTAGATAATATCGGTGAGGAAGAATACTCTCGTGTAAAATCAACCACAAAACATGAATATATGTGAGTTCCATATTCATTGAAGAAGCAATTGTGTGTGATGTCAAAAGGCATAAACTTTAATTTATCGTGCGAAGAATGATTGTTTAAACTTAAAGTGTTGAAAGTCATATGTTTTTATGCTTTTGAATTTTTTTTAGGGGGGTGGGGTTGATTTCAAATTTTGTAAAAGTTCTTTAGAGCTTTTGAGAATCCACATTTGATTTACACTTCATCTTCAATATATTGTAGCATAGTCTGTCCGAAATTTCTTCACCGCAGTTATAAAAAAGTGAGGTGTATTGAGCATTCCAGTGTTCATTCTAACTATAACTACTCACTCAGAAATTGTTTTTAATTCTCTGAACTTAAATTGTGCATATTAGCTTGCCACTTTTGAAAATGATACATTTAAAAATGAATTCTCGTTTTCGGAGGGGTATGATGTTAGGATCAAATGAGTGTAATACAAATGATCAGTGCCACTAATCATTAAAACGGAAGGCTTTTACACACACACACACACACACACATTATATAAACAGTCGCATGTGTCGGCAAAAGCAGGGATTTAATTATTTTTGAGTGTAGATAATATCATAAAAGTATGAGTATGAGTCGATGACATTAAGGTATTACAGTTAAGCCACATGCTTGAACACCCCCTCCCCCCACCATTATCAATTAACAGACCCCAACTTTATTTCTAGGTACATTTTTTTTCACATGGATATCAGTGATTAAATAAGTATATTACAGTATCTATACAATATCTAAACTATGATCATTGATTTGCTCTTAGTCAACAGGTGATATTGATCCTGTGTCATAGCGGGAGTCCCCGCCTAGCAAGACCACCTTTCCCCGATAAATTGGCTATATCTGCCGGGAGAATCTAGGCTAAAGCCTCCCACATCCTGATGAGTAGATTAGCTTATATTGTGAAATTTCCAGGGGAAAAAAGTACTGTATAATCACTCCCTACCCCACCCCTATACCAACCTGCATGGTTTGGCTAAGTATACACGAGTTTCCTAGTCGACAAAGAGTGTTAAAGGTATTTTTGTTTTTATAATATGACAACAACAATAAATTATTGTCTAAATGAAATGTTCGAGTCTGCATGTGCGGATATACATGTACATGTTATTTGCAACTACAATACTTCTTTTCCATAATATAATTTTTTACCACGCCACCAAGCGTGAGAAACAAAACAAAACACGCTTTGAGTAACACGGAGAACTAACATGATGTTTTATTAGTTTTCTTGGAAATGCATGCAAACGAAACTTCATGAAAAGTTTTATGAATCAGGATGTTTTTCTCAGTCTTTAGATTGTAGTCAGGAAGAGAGCTAATCTCAGAACTAGAATCTGACTTCAATTAATATGTAAATTTAATTTACTACTCACTTGTAAATTTATACATGTAATATTAGGATAACACTAATATATATATATATATATATATATATATATATATATATATATATATATATATATATATATATATATATATATATATATATATATATATATATATATAAACACTTTAAAACACTTTTTGAAATGTTTCAACCGTGTTACCGGCCTTCATCAGTTGTGTTTATTTAAATGCATAGCAACTAACGTTGAACAACGTATTATGACGTCACAATGTACATACAACAGAAAGACAACGTCATGAATCAAAATTGCGCGAAAACATCTGAAAAGATTGCGAGAGTTGCAAAAGTAATCAAATGATACATATATTTGGACCCTAAATAATGTAAAATAAATTATTCCATATAAATAAACATATTTATATATACAATGTATACACGCAAAACTGTTCATAAACCATGTTGCAACTCTCGCAATCTTTTCAGATGTTTTTCGCGCAATTTTGATTCATGACGTTGTCTTTCTATTGTATGTATATTGTGACGTCATAATACGTTGTTCAACGTTAGTTACTATGAAATAAACACGACTGATGAAGGCCGGTAACACGGTTGAAATATTTCAAAAAGTGTTTTAAAGTGTTTTGATTCTATTACAAAGAAGAGACTTTGGATATATATTATTCTATAGGCGAAACAAACTTTTTCAGGCGAGTTTCAGGGAGAGGGTTCCATTGAAAAACTCTACTGGAAAATTATGTCTGATGAAGGGAAACGACACACTATCTTTATTGCAAACATTTTCAACAACGATGTTTCATCATGGTACACTTCGCATCACACCTCACAACGTCCCTCAATATCAATGAAAGGAAACACGAGTTGATTGGGGACAGAGTACATGTACATTACTTAAAAAAGTGTAGTATATAAACGGAAAGAAAAGCAACACATATACAAATTCATTTGATTCAGAATACACTTAGAGTCGGTGGACTGTATTTAATCGACTTCATCTATTGAATGCTATAATCTGCAGCATGTGTTCTGTCCCTGTATCTATGCCAGCCCTCTTACGTGGACTGTGATATAGAAAAGGAATCGCTATGGTGTTTAGAGCTATTTTAGTAGTCAGCCTGTGGACCATTGCACAGACCGATCTCTTTAGTGCTATCTGTAAACTACAGGAATTACTGCGAGAGGAGGAAAAATTACAGATAAGTTTAAATAGGTACATCAGCAGTATTGAGGAAACTGGACAGGCCCTTCCCCCGGGGATCACCAGGTATGATGTTCTATTTACACCTGTCCTCTGTATATTTGATTACCTGTTAAGAGGAGTTTTATCCTATATCAACCCATACACTTGTCGCTAATCTCCTCACCGAAATCGGAATAAAGAAGGGGGCGCTAAAATTCGCGAAGAAAGGAGGGGGTACAATCGCAATGTGTAATGTCTGACAAGTCTGTGTAAAACGTAGTTGTTTATTTGTGGAAAAGGAAAATTGTGATACTTTAATGAAAGAGTTTCAATTGCAATAAAAACAACATTTCTCTACTCTTCAGATAGTTTTAAAGTTCCTAGCAAATTTATATTCTTTACCAGTGTCCAAGTTCCCCAGAATTACCTTAGCCCAATGGAGTACCACTGGTAGAGGTTAATCATAACAAGTTTTTATTATTATTATTATTATTTTTCCCATTTTCCAACAACTGTGCTACAGTCAAAGATACTACATACTTAATAAAACAACAAAATAAGTTGTAATAGTTAATATTATTGAAGCAGTTTCAAAAAGCCACAACGAACAGTTTTGCATGTTACGTAGCACTTGAATTAAGAAACAAATGATCACTTACCTATAACCAAAGATGCTCATTTCTTTCGGAAGAGTGCCTCTTTTCTCTATAAATTTACCTTGTGTTTTTGTGTTATTTAATACCTTGTGTTTTTCTTTTAGACTTTTTCTTTAGTAGATATACTAATATTTTTAAGTTCAGCAAGTTACGTATACATGTAGATTTTTATCGTAATAATTATCTAATTTTCCAATGTTCTATTCAGGAATGTGAAAGAAAAAGTATAATACTACTAACAAGACATTACTCTATAAAAAGTAAAGAACGGTGAATAAGCACTAAAAATGAAAATATTAGAGAAAGACATAAGCATGGGGGGGGGGGGAGGGGGGGTGTCAGTTTCTCTTCGGTGCTCTAAGGTCAAACTTTGCTGATAGTATCTTTTTTTTAAAAACCGTTCTCTAGGTACCAAACAGTTTGCAGAGCAAACCTTTCTTCAACCAAAATACCTCTGAAAATGATCCCTGATTCGACCAAGTTTTATTTTATATCATCTTTACCGTTTACTTCTTCGATACAAGGGTTCAACCATATTGCAACAAAAAAAAAGGGATAGAGGGGGCGGTGCCGTCCGTGCTGTGTTTTTTCTATAGAGATTTATGATTTATACTTTAAGCCGATAAGGGGGGGGGGGGGTGTAAACGGAGAACAAAGCTCCTCCAGTTCAATATGTTAAAAACTCACCATCGTTTTTAAATTACTAGTATTATCATCTGCTAAAGCCTTTATGTCTTTAGCTTTTAGCACACCTCTTAGTTTTTATAACCAAAAGACATTTCCACAGACTGTTTTATTCCCCCCCCCCCGAAATATTTTCCTACATTTAAATGAAAACATGACTCAATCTTACTGAGATGCTTTTTTCATTTTTAAAAGATGTCAAACATGGCTGTCTCGTCACACTACTGATGGACATCTGTCTCCCCAGTATCTTTTGTGAATTGTTTTACATAAGTAAACATCAATAAAGGAAAATATGCCGTGCTTGGAGGCTATTAATTTCTTTTATAAGAAAAATTGATCGGTAAAGGTAACGGTTTTTATTGATATATCTCCATGTGTTTGGCTGGAAATTTTCTTATTAAATATAATTCTGATTTGTTTATGGTTAAAGAAAAAATTCGGTCTTGAAAAGCTTACTTCTACCACACCTGTAGTTGTTAGACAGAAAATTATACGTCATTAACAGAGGATATATGTTTCGGAGTTTGCCAAAGATCTGAATATCGAGCTTCTTATTTGGAGAGAGAGAGAGAGAGATAGAGAGAGAGAGAGAGAGCACTGAAATGTTAAATGTTATTATAATAATTTAATACCCTGTTTTATTGCATTATTTTCATCTAGTTCTATTTAGATATGATCTACGGAGTTTTATCAACTTTAATAAAACTTGATTATAATTTTTTACCTTAGGCTAAGGCTCTATTACTCTATTAATTACAGCAAACACTTAAAGTATATGAAAAAAGTACAGGAGAAAGTGAATACTAATAACAAACAAAGAAGTTAGTCGGATCAGTTGTAATTATTAATAAGTAGTAACTTGTACCAGAGTCCTCGAATCAACTGTCATTTGCATTTTTATGCAGTAATTCTGTAAAATAGGTCTATTTGTAATATGGTTTAATAAATTAAGTTGTGTATTTAGAAAATGATTTCTCCAAATTTATTGGAGCTAAATTATGTTGCACTCTATATATTGTCCAAATAATTTGGTTATATTTCTTCTGTCAAAATGGGAGAAAATAGCTCCAGGGTCTCTTTGACAATTTTAAAAAATCTAAATCTTGCAATTCGTGAAAGTGTATTATTAACTTATAAAAAGGCGTAAAAATACGAAAATGTTAAAGATAATAAAGATTTTTTTTCTTCAATTGTAGAAGTGTTTTAGTACATTCTGCTTCATAAAAATACAAAAACAGGTTGGTTTATAAAGGGGCATATTTTGTTCCCAGAGAAATTCCAACAGATTGCTCGTAGACCTAGTCTCCAAAGACTACAAAGTTATTGTCAATGAGGAACTCCAGCATATTATTTTAATATCAACTTGAGAGTACTTGTATGTAGAAGCAGATTGGTTCTTAACAAAATAATTTTATAGATGACTAATCACAAGATATGAAAAATTAAGAGTTCCGTTTTATATCGAAGCATTTTCTATGACGTCAAAAAGCCTGACTTTAATTTATCGTGAGGAATGGTTTATAAAGTGTTGAAAAATCATATGTTTTGATGCTGTGATTTTGGAAAAATTTTAGGATTTTAAATTTTCTCAAAGTTTTTTGATGAAAATCCACACATCATGGTCAAGAATTTGCTAAATTCAGATATGATTTACAGGATCGTACGCTTTATCGTGAACTTTACATAAGAAAACTCTTAGTAGAGAAATACCGACATCTTACGAACGAACGTAACTCGCCCTAACTTCCCGTATCTCAGTAGTTTTCCCGGGACCAGTTATTGCATCTAGTTTAAAATTGATAAATCGGAAAAATTAAGTATTTGTGTATACTAGAACGGACAGTATTTTAATCACTTTGTAAATGATAATTTCTCCTGTCTAATTTTCTATAATCACTTACAATGTAATTAAAAGCGGACAAATAGAAGAAAATACGCCAAAATACCTATGGCGGGTTCATGGGGTTAGGAAATACATTTGTTATGCATCAGTGGTTAAACGTATATATACTAGTGTGCGCTGTGTTCTTTTGAGGAAAGTTACGTTTCATAGCATGGATGAAATCTAAACTCATATACCCTGTATAAATCCATGCAAAGGCAACAAGTTACTAGGTGTGATGCGCCTATATAGTGTCTTGTATTTAAAAGTGTACATTTATGTGTTTGTAAGAGAGAGAGAGAGAGAGAGAGCACAATGGACAATAATTGTTGTAATGAATTATACAATTGTTTTCTAACGTTTCAGAAATCAACCATTAAAAATCAGAAAATAGTTGGCACTTCTCCGGAAAACGTAATAATTTTAAAGTGGTCGCGCGTATACATGTATGTTTGTGTACTTGGGGAGGGAGAGGGGGTCAAAGCTCAACTAATCGAATTAAATGTCCATTTTCATTACATTTAAGTAAATACATGGAATACTACGATCCATATACATGTACTACAATCCTTATAAAAGTGGAATGGGGCAATGTATGCATATGCAGTAATTTTTTTCCATATCGTATCGAGTAAAAGAAAAAGTAACTTCATAAAGAAAGAAGGGTTAGGGTTTTTTTTATGTGAAATATCACTTCAAAGAAATAAATGAGCATTCATATGATAGACAGTATCTTCTTGGATGATGTATTATGTTGCAATCTACACTTAATTTATCTTTCGGCTGCCTTTCATGATATATGTTATATCTGTATAGATATGTGGATTATAAAAGCTGCAAATTATGCATTTGGGCAGGGTCACAGACGTACATGTAGCATCATTTTTTAAGTGGGGGAGGGGGGGGGCAGCCAGAAAAAAAAAAAAACAACCTTCTTTCAGTACCAATTTTTCTTTACATACATTACTACATTAGCCTTATTTGACTGTACTGCAACAAGTGGGGGGGGGGGGGCAACAAGCCTTTCAATGAACATTTCCAACAGTAAAAAGTAATGTGTGGAAAAGGTGGGGACAGGCCCCTCTGATGCTATATGTCTGTGGGTGGTGTATATTTATTAAATTTTCTTTGTACACAAGCTATGTACAATTATGTCGTTGTTTGTTAAGCATGCATTATTCGTCAGAATATAAAATTACAAGATACACTTTATACCTGAAGAGTAACTTTGACCCCGCACTCAGAGTAATTTCGACCGAAACTCTAATATACAGAGAAAAAAAACTATAGTGGAAATTATAACTCGCGTCATCTCTAAGAAAAAAATCATAGATTGATTTAAGTATACTGACAAAAATATTATAATACTGTTGTTCTCAAAATGTGAATAATTTGATGACATAAAGTGCATGACGCTGATTCACTGAGTTGTCAAGGCATGCTTCAAATGTACCTGCACACACAGGCAAATAAACAGAACAGACGAGTTTTCACTGATGTGTGGAAGTAATTTCTACTGATTTTTTTTTTCATATTTTAAAACAGTCATGAATTCTTTCTGGTAAAAGTAATATTGCTGCAGATTTATTTTTTATGCATTAGTCGAATTAGAAACATACAATTTTCGTTTTTAAAAGTGGGGGGGGGGGGGGTTGGGGGAGCCAGAGAAAAAAAATCTGACAAGCAAAAAAAACAAAACAAAACAAAACAAAAACAAAAAAGGGGGTGGGGGTTTAAACTCAAAAACTTTTTTTTCACGCGTGGGGGGGGGGGGGTGGTTCCAACTTTTTTCGAAAGAAAATTTTCTTCATACATCATTCCAGATAATCTCAACATTCTTATTGATGGAGAAAGAAAATTCAGGAGAAAAAATTATCGTTTCCTTAGGTTTAACAAGTTTTGAGTGGGTCATTTTTAGCCAGTCGGTGAGGACAAAGAAACATTTTTTAAAGATGGTCTAACCTAATTTGGCTGATACCACGTGTCTGAAAATTAATCACCGAAGCAGCATTCATGTGGACAGGAGTTACTAAGGCCAATTTCTGTTCAGCTGATTTGCATTACCAAATATTTTGAATGAAATGTGCATGAGTTTCAGTTGCAAAAACATTTTCATATATGTCACGTCAGGAATGGCTATTGATTAATTTTCTACACAGATATTCTCAGAGGTGATAATTCCTTGTAACGGCTAAGAAAACTATCAAAATAAATTGAAACCCGGCTTCAGTATACATGTACATGTATTATAGCCATATCATGAATCCGTGGGAAAAAAAACCCGTTCGTAATTTTTCGGTTGATGAGGCTTCTTCTTAGATACATACGATCCTTCGATGTAATTTTGCTCCAGTCTTTGCCCCCCCCCTTTTTCAGCTCTTTGATTTTTTAAATTAAATATTTCGGATTTCCAACGATTCGGCATGAGCATTACTGTAGATTACTAAATAAACGCGAGGAATAAATTATCGCGTAATTACGCGAGAAGCACCACTCGCGAAATAAAATTACTCGCTTTTATTTTTATGGTACTTTACTGTATGTAAAATCTCTAGATAAATCACCCATTCGCGAATTATTGTTCTCGCGATTTGACGCCCTTCGGCCATTTCGCGATATTAAGTACTAACGTAAAATAAGGAATCTACTGAAGAGACATAATTTGTTTAAAGAGACACTGACGGACAAACGGGAAAATTGACAGAAGTAAAATTTTTGCAAGACACATGCAAATTTTATTCAACTCTTGAAAGTATTAAGTTTCAGAAAATTAAAGGTTTCAGAACCTAAAAAATCTACTTTTGTGGAGAAAAATAAAAGTAAAAATAATTTTAGTTTGCCCCAACAGGAAAAAGAAAACTTAAAAGAAACACATGATATTGACTCACTATGCAACTTAAAATGCGCATCTGGTGCATCAAAATTGGCACCGTATATGATTTACATGTACATGTACAAAGTTTAGCCAGTAGCATGAACAAAAAAGCCATTGTTTTATGTTTATTTTTTTAACTCTCCCTCGTCCTCTTTTTCTTAAGACAGAATCTTTGACTTCATGCTTCAAAATGAGACATTTTTCATTTTCCTTTTACATGTGTATTTCCCTTTTCGGAACCCCTTTGCTCGTATAAATGTCCATTGAAATGTATTGTAGCGTCACGGTAGCGACTACGACAAGAAGTAGTTTTGAGGTATCCTGCGGGGATTTTATCTTTTGAAATCTCAATAACATTGAAGAATTTAATAATGCAACTGTGAATACAATGAACGATCCCCTTTTTTTGGTTACGTTCGTTCGTAAGATGTCGGTATTTCTCTAGTAGAGAAACACCGACATCTTACGAACGAACGTAACTCGCCCTAACTTCCCGTATCTCGGTAGTTTTCCCGGGACCAGTTATTGCACCTATATATATAGTTAAAAATCGGAACAATTAAGTATATGTGTATAATAAAACGGATAGTGTTTTAACTACTTTGTAAATGATAATTTCTCCTGTCTAATTTTCTGTAATCACTTACAATGGAATTAAAAGCGGACAATAGAAGAAAATACTATATAATACATTAGACGGATTAGGAAAAACGTTTGTCATGCGTCAGTGATTATACGTATATACTAGTGCGCGATGTGTTCACTTGGGGGAAAAGTTACGTTTTATAGCATGAAAAAATCTAACCTCATACCTGTATAAATCCGTGCAAAGACAACAAGTTAGTAGGTGATGCGCATATATATAGTGCCTTGTATTAAAAGTGTACATTTATGTGTCTGTAAGAGAGAGAGAGAGAGAGAGAACAAATGACAATAAATAAGCATTGTTTTCCAACGTTACAGAAATCAACTATTAAAAAACAGAAAATGGGTGTCACTACTTCGGAAAATGTATTATTTTGAAAGTAGATGTTTGAGTTGGAGAGGTAGAGGGGGTCTAAGTTCAATTCATCGAATAAGATGTCCGTTTTCATTTCATTTGACTAAATACATGAAATACAAATTTCCATATACTACATTCCTTAAAAAAGTGAAATGAGGCAATACTTGCATGTGCAATAGGGCGGGAAACACCCCCCCCCATTGTATTTAGTGAAAGAAAAAGTAACTAATTCATAAAGTAGGAAGGGTAGGTCCTTTTATATATAATATCACTATAAAGAAATAAACGAGCATTCATATGGTAGACGTTATCTTTTTGGATGATGTATCAAATGTATCAAAACGATCTTCACTTAATTTATCTTGCGACTGCTTTTTATTGTATTTGTAGTATCTATATAGATAATATGTGGATTATAAAAAAAGCTGCAATTTATGCATTTAGGTAGGGTAGGGGTTTCTTTTTATTAAATTTTCTTTGTACTCAAGTTATGTTCCATTATGTCATTGTTTGTTAAGCATACATTATTCGTCAGAATATAAAATTACAAGACACACTCTATATGTGAAGGGTAGCCTTGACCGCACACAGAGTAATTTCAACCGAAGCTACAATATAAAAAAAAACAACAAAAAACAAAAACCACCCCCCCCCACCCCACCCCCCCAAAAAAAACTATAATCGAAATTATATTTTGCGTCATCTGTAAGGGGAAAAAAATCATATTATCCTGTTGTAAAACAAGAAAAGAGTGATTCAAGTATACTGACAAAAAGATACAGCAGTTTTCACAATGTTAATAATTTGAAGACATCAAGTGCACGACTACTACGCTGATTCACTGAGTTGTCAAGGCCTGCTTCAAATGTGCCTACACACACAGGCATATGAACCGAACAGACGAGTTTTCATTGATATGTTAGTTTCTACTGATACTTTTTCATTTTTTAATACAGTCATAAATTCTCTCTGGTAAAAATCGTGAATGCTGCAGATTTATTGCGTCATTTTTCATTAGTCAAACCAGAAACATATATTATTTTCGTTTTTAAAAGTAGGACGGGGGGGAGAGGGGGCAGAAAAGAAAAATTCAACTTACCTGAACAATCTGACAAGGAAAAACGGGGGAGGAATTGTTCAAACTCTAAAGTCCTTTTTCATGTGTATGTGTGTGTGTGGGGGGGGGGTCCAACATTTTTTCAGAATAATATTTTCTTCATACATTATCATATTACATTGTACATGTAACAAAATTTGGCTGACACTACGTGTCTGAAATTTACTCACCGACGCAGCATTCATGTGCCCAGGGGTAACTTAGGTCAATTTCTATTCAGCTGACTTGCATTGCATTTTGATTTGTAAAAAATAAATATTTTGAATTAAATGTGCATGAGTTTTAGTTGCAAAAACATTCTCATATATGTCACGTGAGGGATGGCTATTGATTAATTTTCTATTCGATATTGTCAGAGGTGATAATTCCTCGTAATGGCTTAGAAATACTTGTTCGAAATACTATATTCTGCGAAAAATTAAACCTGGCTACAGTATACATGGATCATAGCCAATCATGAATCCGGCCGGGGGGGGGGGGGGGGGGGGGTGCCCGTTCGTAATTTTTAGGTTCATAGAACTTCTTCTTAGATATCTTCATATGCCAATGAGCAACTTACGCTCATAGAACTATAATTATTGTCAATTTTTTCTGCAGAAAATAGATGTACGTACATACACAATATAAGTTATTAAACACAACTTTATCTGGTACTCGTGATAGATCGAAATTGCCCAGCTGGTTGAAGTTACATTACTCATCCCTATATACTCAGATAAAAAAGTCAGATAAAAAAAAAACAACTTTACTGTAAATTTTATAATTACATGTTCAAAGTTTAGCCAGTAGCATGAACAAAAAGGTCATTGTTTTCTGTTTATTTTTTTACCTCTCCCTAGCCCTCTTTTCCGTAAGAAAGAATCTTTGACCATGCTTCACAATAAGATATTTTTTATTTTCCCTTCATTTCCCTTTTCGGAACCCCTTTGCTCGTTTAAATGTCCATTGAAATGTATTGTAGCGTCACGGTAGCGACTACGACAAGAAGTAGTTTTGAGGTATCTTGCGGGAATTTTATCTTTTGAAATCTCAATAACATTGAAGAATTCAATTATGCAACTGTGAATACAATGAACGATCCCCCTTTTTGGTTACGTTCGTTCGTAAGATGTCGGTATTTCTCTAGTAAACAAAACAAACCCCGGGCTCATATAGAATGTGATACATTAGGATTTATATTAAAGCTGTTTTGTTTTCAGCATACCGTTAAATATTGACGTGGCGATCGTCGATGGTAATATTACATTGTTTTAGCTGATTGAATGTCAAATAGGCTGTTTTCAGACTCAGATATGATTTATAGAGTCATTAAATTAGCCTCATATCACCTTCAGCTGTTCTTCCATTGATAAAGTCACATTAATTTTGGAGTATAATATACTCTCATTCAACAGTCCATAATCGGGACATCTGTTGCAGACTTAATTTTTTTCTTCAGATTTTCGGAGTCTCTTAAAATCAAACGACAGAATATTAGAGATGGTACCCATTATATCGAACATCCTGTCAATGACTTCCACCTTTTATATCGATTTGTGGTGGACTGGCAGTCCGTATTCGATGACATTTGGTGTGAGAATTGTGAAGTCACTGACGCTGCCAAAGGTACTCACATGAGAAATTCAGGGAAATTATTTATTCATTTTCTGATGAAAAATTAATAATGTTTGAAAAAAATAGTTGTTAAGGCATTGACAAAAATGAAATTTAATATTTACGCTTTTGTTTCAGATTTTAATTTTACTGTTCAACTAGTAAGTAAGCGCCTTGGTCTGTGGCCTTCTAAGTACGACCTTGATGGCGCCTCGCACGCACTTCTTCGTTTATGGAAAGTGTACAAACTCAGTCTAGATGACTTGATCAATGGCAATGTGTTAAACTATACTGCTGACCAACCTATGTCAGATGACGAGGTATTGACAGTGACCCAGTATGCTGACCACGCCAAGGACGACTACTCTGAGATGAAGTGGCTAGAAGCTTTGTACAGAAGGTTACAGGGGCAGGACGGTTTCTCAAAAAATGAATCAAGGGTCATTCGTGTTGCTCGAGCATTAGCTGCCTCTTTTTATAAAGTAAATCCAATTATGTGTACAGTTTGTGACTGGATTCTTAGAAAGCATAGCTCTGCAAGACAGGCAATGCACTACTGTTAATGGGTTAATAGATGCATTGAATCTTATCATCATCCTCGCTTGTCAATTTTTTGTTGTTTATTAGAGTATTGTAAAATACGAAAGCCGGATAGGCTCATTTTTGACAAGATAAAAAAAAATTAACTCGTTATAACGAGATAGTTATCTCGTTATAACGAGTTAGTATCTCGTTATAACGAGTTAGTATCTCGTTATAACAAGATAATTATCTCGTTATAACGAGTTAGTTATCTCGTTATAACGAATTAGTTATCTCGTTATAACGAGTTAGTATCTCGTTATAACGATTTAGTATCTCGTTATAACGAGATAATTATCTCGTTATAACGAGATAGCTAACTCGTTATAACGAGTTAGTATCTCGTTATAACGAGTTAGTTATCTCGTTATAACGAGATAATTATCTCGTTATGACGAGATAATTATCTCGTTATAACGAGTTAGTTATCTCGTTATAACGACATAGTTTTCTCTTTATTTTAAGATTTAATAGCAATATAGAAATAAAAATAGCTGTATAGTTTTAATGCCACTGAATTTTTAGCTAGTAACTATCGGTCAAATTTGACTTGAACAACTGATTAATGGTTGAAAATTTAATTTGCTCTGGGGTTTACTTATGATTAAATCTTGAACTATCTCGCTGTCAATAATCATATTTTGATAAGTATAGCAACTCTAAGCGAACACATTTACACATTAATTCGTGAACGCCTCCTCAAATTGTTGCATTAGGACGCCATATTTTTCTTTAAAAAATATTGCCAAATATACTTGCTTTAAACTTTAGCAATTTATTTATGACAACCATTTCTGATGAATGACACTATTTCGACATGTTTTCGACGACTTATACACTTTCATGTATCAATTCCTATACCGCTAAAATTAAATATCAGAGACAATATAAGTGCAACATATCGCACGCGTTTATGCAACATATAATATATACGATTACAGTGTGATACATATGTTATTTTTGAGATTCAGAAATGTTTTGATGAAGGTGGATGGTGAGACATCAGCAGTTAGATTATAGGCGTAGTAATAGGGGGCTAATGTCCCCACCACCTTTTCTGAAAAGGGGGCGGTCAAGAGTATCTTTGTGCCCCTTTCTCCAGATTTTTTTTTTACCTGAGTAAATATCTCTCGAAAATAATGGCGAATACTCGTAGTTGGAATATCAAATCTCTTTTGTTTTTTGTTTTTGTTTTTGTTTTTTTTTTTTTTTTGTTGTTTTTTTTTTTTTTTTTTTTTGCTTGTCAAATATTTTACTTGGTTTACCCCCCCCCCCTCCCCCACCCCTTCCTCGCCTTGAACTTTGTGACTAAGCTTATGCAGATTGTCCACGATGATTAGGAATGATAAAGCAAAAATGATATTACATCCTTCTAAGTAATAAGACGTTAGATCTGATCTTCTGATCTGCTGATATTAATTGACATTTTATCTAATATTCTGTCATGACTCACTATTTATATTTTTTTCCGGGGGGGGGGGGGGGTCCAAGCTGTGGAGATTCACGTAGACCTATTTGAGATCCAAGTCTATTTGGTGGATCTTATGTTTACCACATGGTGACAAAACATCAAACCAGAGTTTACAAAACAAAACAAAAAAGTTTACAGAGTTTACAAAGCCAGTTCAGTTTTTTTTACTTAGGATTGATCAACGAATAGGGCTAATACTACAGTCATGTATATTATTAATACAACATTGAAGCAATATCATTAATTATTTTCCTCATCACAATATTTGTTATGCATACTTTGCAAGCATATAATTTTAAATTCAAAAAGAGATTGATGATTTTTTTTTGGGGGGGGGGGGGGAGGGGGGTTAATAAATGGAGGATATTCAATGTTTTGTAGCTGATATGGAATTCATTTCACGAGTGGGACAGGATTTTTTTTAATATTTTCATGAGTGCGAAGCACGAGTGAAAATATCAAAAATCCTGTCTCACTATACAATACATATTTTTAGGCATAATTTATGCTTGAAATACACCTTAATTAATGCATATCATATTGTAAACTTTAGATAATAAACTTTCATTCTATACCCAAAAAGGATCACAAAAATGTCAACTGTTTTTACTATTGTCAAAGTGAGGCATGTGAATTTCCTACATGCACTACATTTCAGCCTGCTGACCTTCACCTTTTTATTGTGGCTTCCGTAGAATAAAGAGCCCCAAAAGTTTTTTATTCTACCACATTGATAATAACGCAAAAATACATATTGTACATGAGATTTCATGCCATTTTGGTAAATTAAAATGTTTCTTTCTTTTAATAAACAAAAGAAATATATAAATTATTAAGTGATAAGTACAGTATTGTTCTTGAAATTCATCATATTTATTATTGAGGGGAAGGAGGGATTGGTGATAAAAACAACGTGAATTTAGTTTTTTTGTCTGACATTGAATTTTGATCTTGCCCCTTTAAGACGATAAAATTGAACTGGTATTCCTTGTTAACAGACAAGAAATTATCAAAATATGGACGTTAAATGGGATTATTTCTATGCATTTTTTATTGCGACAAAATATTACGCAAAAATTATCATAATTTTAACAAAGTCAAGAAAACTTGATCAGGGCAGTTAATCAGCCAGAGTATATATATATTTTATTCTGATCTCCTTGTACAAGTTGAAAAAATTTTGACGTTATATACATTCCATTTGAAGATGACACTAATTCTATTTTGCAATTTTAAGGTATAACACAACACATGAGGCGGTCATAAGTTTCCGTATATTTGTCTTCGGTCTTTTCAATAAACAACACTAATCAAAGGAATAACACAAAAAACTAGAATGCTGTTGTTCCATTAAATCTTTATCACGCACACTTCAAACAAATTTGATCTACTCGCTTCTGTATATTTCCTATAAATAATGGTCTATTCTTTACTCAGAAATATAAACTCTTAAGATCAATTTTTATCTCTTTATAACGAGATAATTATCTCGTTATAACGAGATAACTAACTCGTTATAACGAGATAACTAACTCGTTATAAGGAGATAATTATCTCGTTATAACGAGATAACTAACTCGTTATAACGAGATAACTAACTCGTTATAACGAGATAACTAACTCGTTATAACGAGATAATTATCTCGTTATAACGAGATACTAACTATAACGAGATAACTTACTCGTGAGAACGGGATAATTATCTCGTTATAACGAGATACTAACTCGTTATAACGAGATACTAACTCGTTATAACGAGATAACTAATTCGTTATAACGAGATAACTAACTCGTTATAACGAGATAATTATCTCGTTATAACGAGTTAAATATTTTTTTTGTCTTGTCAAAAATGAGCCTATCCGGCTTTCGTAGTAAAACACTTTTTATTCGCAAAATATCTATTTTATTACACCAGACCGCCTGCTCGCGAAGATTTCATTCCCGCGTATATTAGTAGTATTAAACGTGATAATCTATATAACGATGCTCAGAACTTTAATATAACAATAACAATAACAAGAATTCGTGAAAATGTTGTCTCGCTTTTAAATACCAAATATCTTCCCAAGAAGATAGGGTGTTGCGAAATTTTTTTAAGTATGTTTGCGATGTATCACGATGTATGGAGCACACGGCGGGTGTGACCGGTCGGCAGGGGATGCTCACTCCTCCATGCCACCTGATCCCACCTCTGATGTTTTTGGAAGTTTGTGTTTGCTTTGCTCCCAATTTGTGTTGTTTTAATGGACTTTGAGCTTAAATACTCTTGTTATCTCCGTATTAAATCTTTAAAATCTAACAATTTTTTTTCGAAAAGAATTTCGAAATCCATAATATGACAAATACCTTCTCTTACAGCTCGGTCTGTCCAAGAATGCAACACTTGTGTTGGAGCCTTTTCAAAGTTTGGGTAAGAAAGTTCAGGGTTTGCAATATTGTCTCGTTCTTAAAAATTATGTTAATTTGCTCTCAAAATAAGGACAACTACTTCTTTCAATTGGTAACTGTGAAATTTTGCTTTTTATCGAAATCATTTGGACTATAAGTTCACGTTATGATTTCTGCAATTGAGAATATCTTTATTTATGAAACGTTATATAATAATTGTAAATATTCTCAGATGTGTTTTACTTTTCTTCTACAATATTATTCATTTTCCCGATTAGCAAAGGTTTTCAAATTACACAGTTAAATCATTACCCCTATAGTTCTCTCTCTCTCTCTCTCTCTCTCTCTCTCTCTCTCTCTCATCGTTGTGTTACAAGTTACAAGATAAATGTGCTCCAGTATGTATTTTGTTATAACATAAATATTTACGATGATTTTCAATCTTTGTCCTTGAATAAACATTGATATGTCTAGGTAACCATTGATATGTTAAGGTAACCATTGATATTTTAAGGTAACCATTGATATGTCTAGGTAACCATTGATATGTTAAGATAACCATTGATATGTTAAGGTAACCATTGATATGTCTAGGTAACCATTGATATGTTGAGGTAACCATTGATATGTTAAGGTAACCATTGATATGTCTAGGTAACCATTGATATGTTAAGGTAACCATTGATATGTCTAGGTAACCATTGTTATGTTTAGGTAACCATTGATATGTTAAGGTAACCAATGATATGTTTAGGTAACCATTGATATGTCTAGGTAACCATTGATATGTTTAGGTAACCATTGATACGTTAAGGTAACCATTGATATGTTAAGGTAACCATTGATATGTCTAGGTAACCATTGATATGTTTAGGTAACCATTGATATGTCTAGGTAACCATTGATATGTTAAGGTAACCATTGATATGTTTAGGTAACCATTGATATGTTAAGGTAACCATTGATATGTTAAGGTAACCATTGATATGTCTAGGTAACCATTGATATGTTAAGATAACCATTGATATGTTAAGGTAACCATTTATATGTCTAGGTAACCATTGATATGTTAAGGTAACCATTGATATGTTAAGGTAACCATTGATATGTCTAGGTAACCATTGATATGTTAAGGTAACCATTGATATGTCTAGGTAACCATTGATATGTTTAGGTAACCATTGATATGTTAAGGTAACCATTGATATGTTAAGGTAACCATTGATATGTTTAGGTAACCATTGATATGTTAAGGTAACCATTGATATGTTAAGGTAACCATTGATATGTCTAGGTAACCATTGATATGTCTAGTTAACCATTGATATGTTAAGGTAACCATTGATATGTTAAGTTAACCATTGATATGTTTAGGTAACCATTGATATGTTAAGGTAACCATTGATATGTTTAGGTAACCATTAATATGTCTAAGTAACCATTGATATGTCTAGGTAACCTTTGATATGTCTAGGTAACCATTGATATGTCTAGGTAACCATTAGTATGTCTAGAAAACCATTGACATGTCTAGGTAACCATTGATATGTTAAGGTAACCATTGATATGTTTAGGTAACCATTAATATGTCTAGGTAGCCATTGATATGTTTAGGTAACCATTGACTTGTTTAGGTAACCATTGATATGTCTAGATAACCATTGATATGTTAAGGTAACCATTGATATGTTAAATTAACCATTGATATGTCTTGGTAACCATTGATATGTTAAGGTAACCATTGATATGTTTAGGTAACCTTTGATATGTCTAGGTAACCATTGATATGTCAAGGTAACCATTGATATGTCTAGGTAACCATTGATATGTCAAGGTAACCATTGATATGTTAAGGTAACCATTGATATGTTTAGGTAACCTTTGATATGTCAAGGTAACCATTGATATGTCAAGGTAACCATTGATGTGTCAAGGTAACCATTGATATGTTAAGGTAACCAATTATATGTCAAGGTAACCATTGATATGTCAAGGTAACCATTGATATGTTAAGGTATACATTGATATGTTTAGGTAACCTTTGATATGTCTAGGTAACCATTGATATGTCAAGGTAACCATTGATATGTCTAGGTAACCATTGGTATGTCAAGGTAACCATTGATATGTTAAGGTAACCATTGATATGTTTAGGTAACCTTTGATATGTCAAGGTAACCATTGATATGTCAAGGTAACCATTGATATGTTAAGGTAACCATTGATATGTCTAGGTAACCATTGATATGTCAAGGTAACCATTGATATGTCAAGGTTACCATTGGTATGTTAAGGTAACCATTGATATGTTAAGGTAACCATTGATATGATTAGGTAACCTTTGATATGTCTAGGTAACCTTTGATATGTTAAGGTAACCTTTGATATGTCAAGGTAACCATTGATATGTTAAGGTAACAATTGATATGTTTAGGTAACCTTTGATATGTCTAGGTACCCTTTGATATGTTAAGGTAACCTTTGATATGTCAAGGTAACCATTGATATGTCAAGGTAACCATTGATATGTTAAGGTAACCATTGATATGTTTAGGTAACTTTTGATATGTCTAGGTAACCTTTGATATGTTTAGGTAACCTTTGATATGTCTAGGTAACCTTTGATGTGTTTAGGTAACCTTTGATATGTCTAGGTAACCTTTGATGTGTTTAGGTAACCTTTGATATGTCTAGGTAACCGTGGTATTTTGAGGGACACGGCATTTTACCAATCCAGTATAACAAGCAACAATGGAACAGTTACAGAGCCAGAACCACGTGACCCTATGTACGAGGCCCTCTGTCGGGAAGATCAAAAAGTAAAGTTAACCCACATCTGTTTCAAACATTTAACAAAATCCACGGTTTCTATAACTTTTTTTCTGTATGATACAGATAAACATATGATAAATTGAAATATCAGAACGTTTTGTAGACAGCACAGGAACTGTCCAAACTCCGTTGCTTCTGGCGAAAAACACTGGTGCCATATTACAGGGGAAAAGAAGAAGTTGTGAATTATGAACCAAGAATTTCCCTCTTTCATGACGTTATCTCACCTGACTACATAAATCTTCTAAAATCCATTGCCCTAAAAGGGGTATGTTTTGCTTTTGTTTCAGATGTATAGCAGAGACACACATAAAATGTCTCTGTTGATAGATACGGTACCTTTAATGTTTCGTTCCCTATAAAGTTATTGACTAGACTACTTAACGCTGTTTCTAAGATGAGTTATTGGAATATATATATCAGCTACATTATATTTTGAATTTTATGTCTCCCATATTTTATAGACAATGCAGGTATTGCTTTAGTACAGTGAATAATGTAACAATGTACCTTCTTTTAAGTTCTCTAGATCCACAGTGTTCTTAGAGGGAAGTGGACCTAACGGGGAGACACGCTACGGTCAAATGGATGATGTTAGGGTTAGTCAAACGTAAGTCTCATTTTTCTAGAAGTGCTGTGTTGAACCGAATTTGTCCATCCTTACAAGGTCACATGGTCACTAGTGGACTCATGACCCCTGAACTCACACGGTCACTAGTGGACTCATGACCCCCGATCTTATGAGGATGGAATTTGTCAGGTTTTTCTTCCGTTTCATTTCCTATGTTTCTATCGTTTTCTTTTTCCCTTATTTTTTCCTGTTCAAGTAACACGTTTTCTTCTAGATGTTGGATTGGTACAGATGAACATAGAGAGCTCGTTAGATTGGAGAATAGGATCAAACTTACAACAGGGCTGAGTGCAACGTATAAACAAGTCTTAAGTCACTCGGAAAAATTCCAGGTCTTCCTTAGAAAATAGTTTCTATAATTTGTTTGAATGTTTGGGAAAATTCAAGTCAATCCAAGATTAGAGAGTTCTTGTAAAAAGAATGTAAAGCATATTAACAATTTGTAGGTGCTGAACTACGGAGTTGGTGGCATGTATACAGTCCATCATGATTACATGGTAAGTTTAATTTCTTCTATTATAATATCAGTATTACAAGTACTTGAATTTAATGTACAAGATCCACCATTCATATAAATGGTGAGTTTCACACTTACAAAAAAGTCATGACGACATGTATTTGAAGACTTACAGGTAGATGTGTATAAGTATGGACTATTATGATTAAACGATCTTGAATCCCCCAGGGGGAGGGGGGTTAAAGCAAAATGTTTAACGAAATATGTTAAAACTGTATAAAATTGCCATAAGGAAAATATGTCGATCTTAATTATACATGTACCAAATAGTTTATGTGGATGGGACAATATTTTGCAACAAATGAGGTTATTAAAACAAAGTTACATTAGTGTTTCAAGCAAGATGTTTGAAGAGATAGTTATAAAACTTTCTGTAAATAGATCGAGGAAAGCATATTGAGTCTTAGTATAATTCAAATCAGTTTATTCGGATAGAACAATATAGAAAAATAGAATTAAAGCTATGAAAAAAGATAAAATGTATTATTTGTTATAGAGGTATCCACTTGGGGCACCCGTCAATATTCTGGATTCGGAGGACCTTCGGAGTTCGGGGGATCGAATAGCGACGTGGATGTTTTACGTAAGCACCAAACACAGCTGTAGTTGTTGATTTCATCAGTAGAGGTCGGTGCCCGGCAGTTATTTTTTTTTCTTTTTTAAACCACGAGCCAATCAATTTCACTACCTTAATTTTCTACTAAGAAAAGAAACCAAAAATGGATTGTGCGTATCAGGCACACTGATTATTGTGGTATTAACGTATCAATGGATATTACAGTAATATAGATATTGTTAGGTAGCGATTTAGGAGACTTTAGTTAGAACACTCTTTTTACTAGATTTTCTTGTTATAACAGCTAAATGACGTAAAAGCTGGTGGTGCTACAGTGTTCCCGAAAGTCAAGGCTAGAATACCGGTCGCTAAGGTACCATAAATTACTACGCATAGACAGTTTGTGAAAAATCAAACTTTTAAATTGTTTATACCCAATGAAAGTAGTAAACCTTTGATTGTCTCAAACTTTATTTTGCTACAGGGAGGCGCTGCATTTTGGTATAATTTAAAACTGAGCGGAGAGGAGGATTCCCGAACACTACACGCGGGTTGTCCCGTCTTAATCGGATCTAAATGGGGTATTATTCTAACACTTCTAGAATGATATGAAAATATTTATATAAATAAGCAGGAAACAATTAACATGCAAGGAAGGAGATTGAAGGACCACTGTGTCCAAATTATTAAACTTTCCGCTATTTCTTACAAATTAAAAACGCTTAACTTTGTAATGGTATGCTCTTCCTTACAATTTAACAGCGCTCACATACGTCAACAATAAACAAAATAACTTTATGCATAGGTAAACAAACCTTAAAAAAAGAGAGAGATGTCTTCAACAACCAGCTTACCCCTACCCCACAGCTAATATTAGCAAGTACATTGCACATATAGAGCCTCAACTAGACTGTATGAATAAAACATTCCGGATTCTGGGATGCTAAACAGTCTTAAATTATATACATGTTTATATAATTATATATCTATGGAAATAAGGGGGGAAACTTATTGAGGTTCCTATTTTAGTCCATCATAGCAAAGGCGGATATCACGATCCAAGACAAAGTGAGATAATTAAAAAATAATAAAATAAGGACCATTAAAATACCAGAACTTGTATTTATTAAACTTACATGTATATTGTTTTTTATCACAGATATAGATTGAGATATCGTATTTTATCACAGATATATAGATTGTGGTATCGTATTTTATCACAGATATATAGATTGTGATATCATATTTTATCACAGATATAGATTGTGATATTGTATTTTATCACAGATATAGATTGTGATATTGTATTTTATAGTGAGTAATAAGTGGATTCGACAAGAGGGCCAGGTTTTTCGGAGATTGTGTGGATTGACAGAGGACGCCATAGAGGATCTACCCACAGCCTGAGTGACATACTATGATAGATCTGGTCACCATAGGAATTGTTCCACTCATCCCAGAATCCATTCATGTGTTGGTCTCCACTCAAATGACAATCATTCTAACATTACACACAATAACTTAGTGAAATCATTATGTCAGTCATAAGATCACATCATTGCAAACGTAGGGTCCAGTTGTAATAAAACAAAAAGTCACTGTTTCGTTGTGTCAAGTTTTTCTTTTGGAACTCAGATTTGTTCTTTTCCTAAAATTCTTCAGGTTTATCAAATTCATGCTTTTTATGAATAGCATTTATTATTTCACATAAATACAAATATACAATACATAGTACTTGCAACCGTTCATGAGATATTTACATGTGATCATAATGAAAATGTGTGTCTTTACTTTTACTAAGTTTGTAACTCCAGCACAGCCTCGTTTTTTTTTTTTATCTTTTCTTAATCCATCTTGAGTTCAAACCTTAGCCCTGGGGCAGCTTTATATCGGAAAGTCCCCGTCCACATTTGCCCCTCAGTATCAGTAAATTGTCCGGTGCCCTCCATCCTGCATTAAATGGAATTCACTTTTTAAGTAAAGTAAGGCTAATTTAGATAAGAATTTCGAATAATTGGCGAAGCATGCAAATCTGATGTATATTTTACGAAAAATTATTTAGTGCAAAATGGATCATTAAAAATCTTTATTCAAGACAGAAATTTTAATTACCTGTTTTTTTAATTTTATTTTTTTTTTATTTATTTTCTTGGATAGATGTGTTAACCACATGTTATTAATACAAATGTACATATATTAATCAGCAAAAGTCTTGAATTATTTCGCTTAGTTTAAAATACATGTAAATGACTTTCGGGGAGAAATAGGTTTCCCTCCTCTGTTAAGAACACAAAATCGTGTATGATTATTTACATGTAGTTCTACGCCTGCTAACTAACTTACTTATTCTCGTTGAACTGTCCTTCATAAAATGAGTTATTTTTCCAGGTATATTTTCCTTGACCATGAAATTGATTATTAACAAAGTCCCCCTCATACACCGCCCCGGAGGGGTGAGTCAGTTTTCCCTTTCCGTTCATTTTATCTCCCTTCCACTCTCCTTCATACACTGCCCCGTCTGTTGTCGTGTGGACACCGTGACCGTTCCGCTCTAGTGAACCGTCACTACCATGTTGATATTCTCCATCTAATTGCGAAAAGACAAATGTTTAATTTAAAAAGCATAGGCATCAGTACATTCTTGAAAACTATATAACAGCTGTCAGTAAGGGTGGGGTATCACTAGCTAAATTTCATATGTAATACACAACAAATAATGTTCTGACCGAGTCAAAAACTGTCTCCTCTGTTTGTGTATAAAATTCAGCTATTTCTCTTAAGAGTTCTGAGAAATTCGATTCGATAAAATGGTACAAGAACCGCAGTTTATTTGGATTGGTACGGAGGATTAATTACTTTTAAAACAGACCCTTCCTTATTCTGTCTGCATAAGTAAGGAAAAGTATATATTGCTTCCGTGAGGCCTCAGTAGTTTTAAGACTGAGACAAGAACACGAGATTGAGTCAAGAACACCCTTGCTTGGTTACTTGCTTTGTGTCACTTCGCAGTGGTATTTGAACCTGCGACGAAGGGTCATTTTCTCTGCATCCTATTGAATGTCATCCGAGTTAGTGTAGCCCTTCTTATTGTTTCTGTCTATGTTAGGGAAGAAGTATACACTTTACATTCATGGAAAGGCTTCCGCTTTTGTCTGGGTATTGGATGTGGGAGGGGGTAGAAACCTATGGTGAATGAATCTTTCTAGTATTTAAGTATCAGTCTTCGTTGAGGAAAATGAAAATCCTCTTGTAGATTACTACTTACAATGATATGTGTTATGGGAGATGCTGACAAATTTATAAAAGATACTTCTGTGGCCGTAATACGCTTCCGTACTATAGAGCCCTTCTAGATAATGAGTTAGGAAAGATGTAAACAATGGATCTCTACGTGTATCTGTTAGAGAAGGTGTAAGCTATTGAGCTTTATACTTACTGCATTTGTATCCGTTAGGAAAGAGACGTCAGTACAAAATTTTTAGTCTCGACTAATCTCGTCGAGATTAGTACCAGCCTTATTTGTATCCATTGGAGAAGACGCTAGTAAACTTATCGTTACTGTGTCAGTTAGAAATGAGCTCTATTTCTGTATTCATATTCGTTAGGGAGGATGTAAACTATATGGAACACTTATCCGTTTGGGAAGATGTTGGACATACAGATCTACTTACCATATTTGTCTCCGTTAGGGAAGATGTAGACGCCATTTGTAGGTGGAGCAGGCACTTCTTCCTTCTTTTTATCTTTTTTATCTGTAACATTGGGATAAATAATAAAATATTATTTTTGTGCAGCTCGATACAATTTTGTCTTTTCACTGAAAGATAAAGTTTTGGTATATCTGCACCTGGAAAAAATATTTATTGTTGTGCAAAAAAGAAAATCAGAAACTTTAAGTGGGTTAATCAGTTATTGAATTCGTTTGGTTTCCAGTTTTAAAGAAAAGGTGTAAATCAGAATTTATATTATTTATTACCCGACTTCCCTCATTGGTTTGCTTTATACTTAAGTCATATATGTACAACACACCCACAACATAAAGCCTTTCCACTTATTGCATGATATAAAGCTATGGCAGGAACCAAACAGAAGCTTTGCATCAACTCTTCTCCAACATGAGCGCGGAGCTCTTCATAATTTTACTTATAAATATTAATGATTTTCCCAGTAAGTTTTATGTCATGTAATTAATGATTTAATGTACTGTAATAATAAAGCAGGGACAAAAAAGTCAACATCAAACATGTGTGTTCGTTTTATTAGTTGCAGTACTATAACTAGAAAGCAATCAGTTATATCCAAGGGCCCCTTAATGTTCTAATCACTAGTGCTAAATTTTTCGTAATTTCCCTCACAACGAAAACCAAACCCCTTACCATTCTGATCGCTGCCTACAGTCTCTGTAAGAAATTATAGACACTAGTATCAAGTTGTGCGAAAGCTTAAAAAAGTAGACAAATACCAATTCAATTATTTAAATTCTGGGCAGAAAGCAAATTCTACATTAAGCATTTAGATTACCAGTACATGATAAAAATTAGGAAAAGTAAAAAAAAAAAAAAAAAAACAACTTTGATAAATTGTTTTTCAACTAAATAATCATGGTACTCAATATTTATCCCCTGCTTTCGTGGATTCAGGTACAGATACATATAAACATATCTGTAAATGTGCAATCATCAATTGGTGCAATGTGTTTAATTTATTTATCATTGTGATTATAAAGCGATAAAGCTTGTGATGGAGAATAGGTTCTTAGAAATGCAGGTGGGCCTGACCACATGGACAATCACCAGAAATTAGCAACACCGAAAATACACCATATCAACAATGTATATAACAATACCAGGTCGTGGGTTTAGGTCAAAAGTCACAGCCTTAGTTCCTTGTTTTGAATGGGTTTCATCTGCTGCAAAAATTAATCTCTCCTGTTATACCTTGTACACCACCCAAAAAATAGCAATAACATGAATCACTCATAAACCGTAAGCAAGAGTAAACTTAAAATCACCAGGAATCTTGTAAGAAATAAATGTTGACAAAAATAATTGCTTATTTTGAATACGACAGACTTAAAGCTCATCCTCGCTTCAGATTTAACGTCACATACATATATAATGATACCCCTTTGAAACCTTCACAGATAAAATTGATGAACTGATTAATTAATTAGTATATACCGAAAACAATCACAAGGAAACTGTACGTGAGAATATATCTCTAAAACATGATAATCAAAATGACCGACATACTCACATATTATAAAGCGAAATAAGATAAATTTTACAGGCCTTTCACAGTGCTAAATAGAGTTATATTCGATTATATCTTCTTTCCAAATATGCTGTTAAAATGTTGCAATAATGCTTTATAAAAGAAATTGCTGTTAACATTTAAATAAGCCCCAGCAACCACGATAAAGTATAAAAATGACCCCACAGTGTATTTGAATAATGCAATCTTACCAGTTAAATTTTCTGTAATACAATATGATTTTAAGAAGCTTTACTATGAAATATGTGTGTCAAAATAGGTCACAATAATCCTTGTTACGATGAGTTTTTTTTAGCTTTAAACCATTATTAAATATGTTTAAAAACATAAGCAGCAAAAATCCATTCAATGAATAATGTTAAATATATAGTATATACATACCAGCTGGCATTCTGTAGTGTTTACAAATTCTTCTCTCAATGCATGGAGGCCGCCATTAATTTATTCGTGACCATGGATACACCTCTGTCTGTATTTTCGTATTTCAACTTCAGCTAGGCCTATACTAAATCTTGAAAAATATTATCGTTGATAATAATGAAAACTAAGTGTTAAGCAAATCGGATGACGTTATTTATTAATAGATAAAAAAAAACGATGAATACGAAAATAGACAGAACGTTGACTCCAGACAACTTCCGGTGACATTGGGACTTGTATTTTGGACGATCGGCAGAACAAACTCGTTATGCTGCGTCCACAGAGTCTGGCGAGGGTGTTATCCAAGTGCAAAAAGTCAGGTTCGGTATCTTTGAGAGTAGCCTCCACAAAATCTGCCAGTGCGGCTAGGGCATTCAGGTAAACGTGACATCATGCACCCAATCTCAATACTGTTAATCAGGTCCAGCACAATCTCTTGATTTAGCTATATAGCTTGAAATAGCTATATAGCTCTATTAAGCTATTCAAAATAGCTTGATAAAGCTGTTTATATACAGTTTTTCAGAAAAATGTTTTTTGTAAGAAATAGACAAAAAGTTGAATGTATTTGACTATTCATATATTTACTATGGGGTATCAAGACAACAAGCAAAATCAAAGATAGTTCTAACATTGCAGCATATGAATACTTTTAAGCAAAAGATGAATTTCCATTGTTTGAGTAACTGTACACTACCCTGTGTGCGTTGAGGCGTGGATAAGTATGATTGCTTCTCATTGTACTGAATTATTACCAATCAATTATCTTGTTGACCATAATTGGCCTCCTTTATAATTTCATTGAAGAAGTAACTGTATCAATTGCTTTATATAGCCCCAAAACTTTAAGAACTTTGAGTACAAAGTCTTTTAAGGAGACGCAATTTGATGACTGATTTTTACATACATTATTTTCAGAAGAGTTCAAGGTTGAATATTATCACTGCACCAAGGTGCGACTTTTTGTGCATGCTGAGAAAATAACACATTCAAGAAAAAGGTGTGATAAAATAGCTAAATCAAGCTATTCTGAATAGCTTAATAAAGCTATATAGCTAAATCAAGCTATATAGCTAAATCAAGAGATTGTGCCGGACCTGTTAATTACAGGGGCTTGCTCCTGGTGTGTAAAAAAAAAAAATCATGAAATAAAAAATCATATACAAACTACTAAATATACCAGGAAAGACGCTGTCTTTGACCCCTTTTCCCGCTTCAACCCTTGTTTTCGTTTTAATTCCCCGTATTATGGAGACCGATTCATCACCTCTGTTCTTTAAAATAGTCCTTTTCCTAAGACACTTCCATGAGAGGAATAAACATTCCCTTAAGAACCTCCAAACTACCCACTTCAAATGATTAATAATCCCAATAACACCCATTAGGGCTGTTGTCGAGGACAAAAAGGAAAACTACATATGGAAACCTGGGAGTAAAGCACAGTACGAATTTTCTTGCCCGATTTAGTTGGCTGCAATTTATCAAAAAGACATGGTATAGTTTTTTATAGTTGATCTTGACACATGCAGGAAATGATGTCTGTATTTAAAAACGGTTATAAGAAGTAAATCTACAAGTTCCTGTTAGGACTGGGCTAGTGGATTTTTGATGAGGTCTAGTAGAAATTTTGGGAAGGAGCCCAACTGGTCTAGTACTTGTAACAGGAAAGGAAAGAAATGCAAGGGACCAAACTGGAATTAGATCACCAGTGATCAGAAGCTCAACTGGTAAAGAACCTGACAAAAGATTCAGCCATCATGGGTTCAAATCTCAGTCTGGTCCATCACATTTTTCTCCTCTCTGTTAATTTGTTGCCATGCCCTGGAAGTGACAGGTGAAAGATCTGCCAGGGGAGAGCCTGGGTTGATGTCTTCAGGGGATGAAGACCTTTAAGGAGGATAGAATGTTGCAGTCAGATGGGTCGATTGCAGGTGACCAGATAGCTCAGTTGCAAGGGCACCTGACTGGAGATTCAGGGAGCCTGGGTTCAAATCTGGGTCTGGTCTGCATTTTCTCCTTTCCTGTTACATACTCATAAAAATTAAAAGTCAAGCCTTGAAATTTATGGGACCCTGGTAAATAAATGTGACAGATTTTATTGTGAAGTTTTAAAATGGTGACAAATAACCTCCTTTCATAGGTGCGCCAAATAAAATAAAATCATAAAATGAAAATATATACAGTTAAACTTCGTTATCTCAAAGTTGACGGGACCGTTGATGAACTTCGAGATATCCGGGGGTTCGACATATCGAGGGTTATAATTCAAATGAACTTCAAATAAACTTAGTGCAGTGAACATGTACTTAATAGTAAAAACATGTTAAATTCCTTCTTGTTTGAAATTCTGTATACGATTTCTTTAATATGCATGTACATGTATTTAGCGATCAAAAAAAAAAAAAATTACATCTTCTTCATAATTCACAAAATAAAAGGCTTGTATAATATGCACAGAAGTATAATCCTTCTACCAACGTGGCAGGTCAACCGCTAGCATCGTTTCCTATGTGTACATAACCGGATATCGTCTATGCATTGTAAATTTGAAACCGATCGCTGTCAGAATAAAAAACGAAGTATACATTTTCTTTTATTGGAAAAACATGTTCATATATGTATAATCAGTTAAAAGAAGATTATTTTACCATGATAATAAAATCAAATGCAAAAGAAGAATCACTCACTTTTGTCTAACAACAGAACAACACTGAATCACAGGGCACTACAGCACAAGTTTTTCACTGCGACACACGCTCACATGTTGGTGTGTACGGACGATTATAAATTCTGCACGCTCATTTAGGGAAAATAAATTCTAATTGCATCAAATTACAGAATTTTGTTTCACTGCGATGTTTATGATTTTCACTTTCATATCCATAAACTTTGTATGCGCGCATATTTCACAGCATTAAATAGTGATTATCAAGATAAACGTACCCAAGCCACAAAACAACGTGTCATCCACACCTATGCATTAGACTTATACACACAAACTTTTGCTTGCATAATTACAATCAAGGTAAGCCATACATACACTTCGTATGATTATCGCGCTATTAATTATCTGTTGATCACAGGAACACAGGTAACCCGAGCGTGACAGACAGGTGGGTGTTATCAATAGAGCATTCAGTTTACCTAACGGACTTGATCATCAGAGCGGAAAATTATCCTGACTTCGAGATAACACATGTGATTTTAATGAATAGGTACACAATTTTACTTCGAGATAACCGGGGTATTCGACATTACCGTGTTCGACATAGAGGGGTTTATTTTAATCATTTATAAAGCAAATTTCGTCGGGACCGCGGCCTTACTTCGACATATCCAGGGTATTCAAGATATCTGTGTTCGAGATTTCGAAGTTTAGCTGTATCTTCTAAAAAAAAGTACAAAGCATGAAGCTTATCTCCATGGTAGATATTATCAAATATTCTTGGTATAGTCAAGCTTTTTTTCAATCGTCAGACACATTATTGTCGTAAAGTAATAACTCTATCAAATAAAGTTAGTCAGATTTTTACAATGTTTGTAATATCTGTGCATTTCTGTAGTGAATCTCGTAATGCTGCTCATACATGTCGTGTATAATGCTCTCCCCCTAGTAAAGGACCTTATAAACTCATAATAACAGGTACTGTTATACATTTCAGCAGATTCAAAGGATATCCTCAAGTTTCAAAAGGAAGTAATCTTTTAAGAGTGTCAGAGAGCAATGTATTCAACAGATATTACAGTTCTGCAGGTAAAGTACAGTTGAACTTCAGTATCTCGAATACATGTACCATGGGTATGTCAAAGTGAGTTTTTAAGTCACAATCACCTTTTCTCTATGTATTGTATCTTCAATATCTCAAATCCATTGGATATCTCAAAGTTTTTTCTCATTTTTTTTTTTGAGTTCAAGATAACAAGCTTTGATACTATTTTTTTTTCTTTTGTCAAATGATATTTATGAATAATTTATATAAAATGTTGACTGAATTTGTAATAATTAACTTTCATTTGAATGTTGTCAACTCTCTTTAAATTCATTTTTTATTTGATATCTTATACTTTGTGTATTATTAAATTAAACATGAGAAATGTACAGAATTATTTTCATTTACTAACATTTAAATAAAACTCTGATTATAAACAGACTTGCCCACCCATTCAAAAGTTGTCCTTCCTGCTTTGTCTCCTACAATGGAGACAGGAACTATCAGTAAATGGCAGAAGAAGGAGGGGGATAAGGTCTCCGAGGGGGACCTGTTAGCTGACATTGAGACAGATAAAGCCACCATGGGATTTGAAGCCTCAGAGGAGGGGTACATTGCCAGGATATTTGTGGAGGAGGGTACCAAAGATATTCCCATAGGAAAGGTATTCATTTATAAAGGTTTTATTATTAAGAAAAAAAAATCTTTCACTAATTATAACTTTGCTACATACATTCACATTTAGGAATAATTATGCTAATCACCAAGGGAAAAAACTCCTCCCAGAAATAATTAACTTAGTCTTTATGTTGTGAAGCATGCTAATGAACAACACAGACAAAGTCTTTTCTGATGATTGTTGTACGTAACAGTAGGCTAATGAACAACACAGACAAAGTCTTTTCTGATGATTGTTGTACGTAACAGTAGGCTAATGAACAACACAGACAAAGTCTTTTCTGATGATTGTTGTACGTAACAGTAGGCTAATGAACAACACAGACAAAGTCTTTTCTGATGATTGTTGTACGTAACAGTAGGCTAATGAACAACACAGACAAAGTCTTTTCTGATGATTGTTGTACGTAACAGTAGGCTAATGAACAACACAGACAAAGTCTGATGATTGTTGTACGTAACAGTAGGCTAATGAACAACACAGACAAAGTCTTTTCTGATGATTGTTGTACGTAACAGTAGGTTAATGAACAACACAGACAAAGTCTTTTCTGATGATTGTTGTACGTAACAGTAGGCTAATGAACAACACAGACAAAGTCTTTTCTGATGATTGTTGTACGTAACAGTAGGCTAATGAACAACACAGACAAAGTCTTTTCTGATGATTGTTGTACGTAACAGTAGGCTAATGAACAACACAGACAAAGTCTTTTCTGATGATTGTTGTACGTAACAGTAGGCTAATGAACAACACAGACAAAGTCTTTTCTGATGATTGTTGTACGTAACAGTAGGCTAATGAACAACACAGACAAAGTCTTTTCTGATGATTGTTGTACGTAACAGTAGGCTAATGAACAACACAGACAAAGTCTTTTCTGATGATTGTTGTACGTAACAGTAGGCTAATGAACAACACAGACAAAGTCTTTTCTGATGATTGTTGTACGTAACAGTAGGCTAATGAACAACACAGACAAAGTCTTTTCTGATGATTGTTGTACGTAACAGTAGGCTAATGAACAACACAGACAAAGTCTTTTCTGATGATTGTTGTACGTAACAGTAGTCTAATGAACAACACAGACAAAGTCTTTTCTGATGATTGTTGTACGTAACGGTAGGCTAATGAACAACACAGACAAAGTCTTTTCTGATGATTGTTGTACGTAACAGTAGGCTAATGAACAACACAGACAAAGTCTTTTCTGATGATTGTTGTACGTAACAGTAGGCTAATGAACAACACAGACAAAGTCTTTTCTGATGATTGTTGTACGTAACAGTAGGCTAATGAACAACACAGACAAAGTCTTTTCTGATGATTGTTGTACGTAACAGTAGGCTAATGAACAACACAGACAAAGTCTTTTCTGATGATTGTTGTACGTAACAGTAGGCTAATGAACAACACAGACAAAGTCTTTTCTGATGATTGTTGTACGTAACAGTAGTCTAATGAACAACACAGACAAAGTCTTTTCTGATGATTGTTGTACGTAACAGTAGGCTAATGAACAACACAGACAAAGTCTTTTCTGATGATTGTTGTACGTAACAGTAGTCTAATGAACAACACAGACAAAGTCTTTTCTGATGATTGTTGTATGTAACAGTAGGCTAATGAACAACACAGACAAAGTCTTTTCTGATGATTGTTGTACGTAACAGTAGTCTAATGAACAACACAGACAAAGTCTTTTCTGATGATTGTTGTACGTAACAGTAGGCTAATGAACAACACAGACAAAGTCTTTTCTGATGATTGTTGTACGTAACAGTAGGCTAATGAACAACACAGACAAAGTCTTTTCTGATGATTGTTGTACGTAACAGTAGGCTAATGAACAACACAGACAAAGTCTTTTCTGATGATTGTTGTACGTAACAGTAGGCTAATGAACAACACAGACAAAGTCTTTTCTGATGATTGTTGTACGTAACAGTAGGCTAATGAACAACACAGACAAAGTCTTTTCTGATGATTGTTGTACGTAACAGTAGGCTAATGAACAACACAGACAAAGTCTTTTCTGATGATTGTTGTACGTAACAGTAGGCTAATGAACAACACAGACAAAGTCTTTTCTGATGATTGTTGTACGTAACAAAACACAGAATTTTCCTTGTCAGATACATTTTTGTTGCAGAGATAAGATGCATGTAAGAATTATACCAGTCAACATGTGTGTATTGCTATTTTTTCAGCTGTTGTGTATAATCGTGGAAGAGGAGGGAGATATTGCAGCATTTAAGGATTATGTTCCCAAACCGGAGGATGACCAACCACCGGGTGGGTCAAAGCCAGCTTCTACACCCCCACCACCCCCTCCACCACCTCCAAAGGCAGCTCCACCACCTCCTCCTCCCAAGGTGACAGCACCACCCCCGCCACCTGTGGCAGCAGCTCCAGTGACACCACCACCACCTGTGGCAGCAGCGCCACAACCTGTAGCAGGTGGTGGAGTCCCAGCCACACCTTATGCAAAGAAACTTGCAGCAGAGCGTGGAGTGGATCTTTCTGTAAGAATTTATTTTTTAAGATTATTTTGTTGGTTTTTTTGTTAAGATACGTGTTTATAGAGAGGCAGAGGAAATTAATAATATCCTATGTACCCATTTCCATGTTACAGGTTAAGATACAAAGTTATCAACAAAATCTGTATATTTAATGACAGAATTTCTTTTAAGTATTCTCTTTGTATAAGATGCTGTGTCATAGTATTCCTCTTGAAGAATGTATTGTATACTGGGTAAGTAGAACATGTTTTGTTAAACAGAATTTGGGGATAATTTGGGTTTAACTGCTGTAGATGGTGACCGGGTCAGGACAGGGAGGGGTCATTCAGGCGGAGGACGTCCTAAGATTCCAGGCCCCAGCAGTACCCTCACCTGTCATGGCACCAGGGGCGGAGTACACAGACATTGAGCTATCAGGCATGAGAAAGGTATGCACATTCAGGGTTCTAATTGGCGACTAATTTAGTCGCCATGGCACCTAAAACTTTTCTATAAGTCGCCAAATTGGTGACCATTTTGGTGTTTGTCAAATTACTGAACTATAACCATTTTCAATTTTTATTTCATAAAGAGCAGAAAAGAAGTTAAAAAGTTAGCAATGGACATATCTCTATATGTTGACTAATATCAGTTTTAAAATTTACCTGGCGACTAAAATTTGCATTGGCGACTAAATGTTTTTGATTTGGAGCCAGTTGGCGCCTAAATTTTAGAAGTCACATAGAGGCCTGACATTATGTCTCAGGCACTCTTTGTGAGTAATTTGAAAGCAAAATGCAAATGCTTTGGTATAGATACATAGATCCATCCCTTAGATACACTGTAATTAGAAACCAGTCATAAACAAATTCTTTTCTATTGGTAGACAATTGCTAAACGATTGCTGGAGTCCAAACAGACTGTTCCACATTACTATCTGACCATAGATGTCAACATGGATGGAATTTTACAGTAAGTCAATATGATTAGTGAAAGGAAAATGTTCTCTTGTAATAAAACTATTTTGTTATAACATATTATTTGTACAAGTGTAATGTTTATGAACTTTCATGAAATGGTTTTTAACCTTCTGGCCCAGAATTGAAATAAACTTATCTATATTTTATACTGTTTCTGTTCGTCTCACTAATTTGATCAGGTTTCTTTTTTTTTTTAGCAAAATTTACAATAACTTACTATCTATTTATTTTTTTACAGGCTTAGAAAGGAGCTGAATGATATTCTCTCCAAGGATAAAATTAAGTTGTCAGTAAATGACTTTATTATCAAAGCCTCAGCATTAGCTTGTAAGAGAGTTCCAGAGGCTAATTCATCATGGCAGGGAGACTTCATCAGGCAGTAAGCATTTCACAGAATTTTAAATCCCTGTTGTCATTAAGTGCATGCATTATATTTGTAAAACGTAAACTGAGAATGAGCTGGGATATAACTTTAGCTGGAATACAGTAAAACATGGATACAACGATAGAGTCATGCTTATAGTGACATGATTTTAAATCCCTATAGTTAAAATCATTTTATGAACTTATCTGGTTTATAATAAATCAGAATTATTGTTATATGCTTGTTTTACCCAGTACTTTATGTAATTTTTTGGTATACCATAAGAATGAAGTCACTTTTTCTTATAGAATTTAAGTATATTTTACCACACGTATCATCTTCAAATTTTAAGTATTTTAAGGTGAATTCTTTGGCAAAAGTGATATTCTTAGTAATTTCATTTCAGATACAATTCTGTTGATGTTAATGTTGCTGTGGCTACAGATGCAGGGTTAATTACTCCAATAGTTAGCAGAGCTGATATCAAGGTATGTCTATTATTTCAGGCACAGGTTAGCCAAAAAAAATAAATAAACAAGATGTGTTTGTGAAACACTATGCCCCCGATGGTAACACAATTCTGGAGTGGGAGGTAGACTACAGTGCAATAGTTATGGCCAATGTTAAAGTTTTTCAAATGTAGGTCAAAGGTCACAGTTGAGGTCACATGATCAAAAATTTCTGTACCAATGGAAAGGTCTTGTCGTAATAAACACTCATGTCAAATATTAAAGCCTTACCCTTGACAGCACAATAGTTATTGGCTCTGTTAAAGTTGACAACAGACAAACAGACAGACAGGACAAAAACAATATACCCCCGGGATCATTCGATTGAAATTGATATGTTAATCAGTATCTGAGAACTTTCATAGTGTGTACTGTTGCACTATCATGAACAAATACAGTTGAACTTCAGTATCTCGAACATTGATATCTCAAATACCATTGATATGTGGAAGTGATTGGGAAGTCCTAACCACATATTTCTTAAGTATTTTACCCTCGATATCTTGAACCCTCGGATATCTCAGAAGTTTTTTCTCAGTCCTATCAAGTTCGAGATAACGGGCCTTGACTGTACTTTTAATTGAAAGATTTTCATGTATTTATTTTTATCTTTAAGATAGAGGGAAGAAAGACCTTTTTATGTATCTTTCTTTTTTAAGGGACTTTCAAATATCAATCAAGATGTACAATTACTAGCTGCCAAAGCAAAAGAAGGAAGATTACAACCACATGAATTTCAGGTAAGTCATTTGCAAATGTTTAATTCAAATGATATGATGTGTTTAGAATTTTACAAATGATAAATTATCCCTCCTACATTAAGAAGAATATTTACTTTCTAAGTTTCATTTATTTGAACTATGTCAAATATATATACCGGTACTCAGAATTTAATAAGAAAGGCAAGTTTTGCTAAAGTTGCTGGATTACAACTGTAAGATTTGAGGGATTACTTCCTAGCAGTCTTGGTACTTACGAATCATGTCTATCAATTGATTGGACAAATATCCAAATTTAGTACAACTTTTAAGCTGAGTTGAAAAAAATATCCATGAGCAAAATAGTTTTTCATGGCACAAATGTTTAAAAACTGAATAGATCATCTGAGAATATGGAATTGCTCAAATCATTAACCGCTATACATTGGAGAATTTTAAAATTCTTACTTTACTTGAAAGAATATTTTTGTGCAAATTGAAACATATTAAAATGAATGGCTGAATATTATCTATGTGATATCAAGATTTTTTTTTCCCCCACAATTCCAAAAATCTGAACTTTTCTACACAATTCATTTTGTGTATAAATGTGTAAATACATGTACTGCACATTATAAATTGTGATATTTACATTGTTTAGGGAGGAACATTCACCATCTCCAATTTAGGGATGTTTGGAATTAAATCCTTTTCAGCAGTAATAAATCCGCCTCAGGTAAGATACCCACAGTACATACCGTACACAGTAAAAACACGCTTATAATGAAGTGCCAGGGACAAACAATTTTACTTTGTTTTAAACATTATTTATTATATCCCTCAAGTTAACAATATATTTTAAAGTCACCGGGAATGCAAATCACTTAGCTGTAAGCATCAAACCATTAGAAGCATATTCACTATAAGCATTTTTTTACTGTATTGGGTATTTGCACGCTGCAAAGTTGATTTTTTTTAGCAGATCAAAAAAATTCACCGAAATATAAAGCACCAACATTTCCATTAAGTTTGTACAGTTATTGTACAGATTATTATAAAATAAATATAGTATCTCCCATGATTTGTAGTTGAATATGATTTTTATCCAACGAGTTGTGTGTTTTTTATCCCCGAGCCTTGACGAGGATAACTGGATAAAAGTCATATCCAACTACAAATCATGAGAGATTCTTTTTATCCCATGTTTAATACTTCACAACCAATGTTTTACACTGTTTTATATAGGACTCCACTTTATTTTACTTCATCACTCTAACGCAAAAACCATTGTGACGTCACAACTGCACTTAACTGTGGATTATGAAAAAATTATCCAATGAGTCATATCCATGGGATAAAGGGGTAAACATGGGATAAAATAAAATAAAAATCTGTTAGAAAATAAAACATTATTATCTTAGGCCATCTTTGAAAAATTCTTTGGTTGCCCTTTCCAAAATGGCCAGTCGCAAAATTTTTTTTTAAACTCCAGGAAATAATCATTTTATGCATTCCAGAAAATAAATTTTGAAATTCAGAATTGATGTTGAAATTTTTCTGTATATAAAAAATTTCCACCTACCTACAGACCCAAAATTTTCATCCTAAGTCAAGGCAAACAAACATTATTTTAAAGTTGGCCTTAACTTTTTATTTTTTAGCTCACTAAGTTGAAAGCTCAAATGAGCTCTCCGCCATCCCTCCATATGAAAACTTTTCACATTTTCAACTTCTTCTCAAGAACCACTGGGCCAATTTCGAACAAAGTTGGCAAAAAGCATCCTTGGGTAAAGGGGATTGTTAGTTGTTCAAATGAAGGGCCAAACCTCTTTTCAAGGGGAGATAATCAAGAAAAGGCAAAAATAGGATAGGGTAATTAAAAAATCTATTCAAAAACCACTTGGCCAAAAGAGATGAAACTTATCTGGAATCTTCTGAGGTAGTGTAGATTCTTAATTGTTCAGATCATGGCCCCCAGAGGTATTTGGCCACAGTAAGGGATCAAAGGGTGAAAACTTTATAACATAATGTAGATTCTAAATTGCTTAAATCATGGTCCCCTGGTGTAGGATGGGGCCACAATAGGAGATCAAAGTCTTGCATTGGACTGTATAAGAAAAAACATTCTAAAATCTTCTCAAGAACCACAATAGAACTATTATTTGCAAACATTCTCAAGTTGTATGGATTTATTTTTTTTCAAATTATGGTTTGAATTGAGTTTAAGTTGGTAATAATCAGGATCAAATTTTACCTGAAGCATGTGTACAGAGAAAAGAATTTTCTTCTCCATAATTGCAGGGCCAAGTTAGTCATATTGATGATGAAGCATCCTCATGTTGTGAGAGACCATCTAGACTTACAGTGGGGCCATAATATGGAGTCACAATTTTTTTCATGGGAATGTAAAAATCCTTTTTAAAATCTTCTTAAGAACAGCAGGATTTAGTTACTCAGGTGAACATTGTGGCCCTTGGGCCTGTCGTTTTATATATTCCCTATGCCAAAATTACCCGATACATGGTAGAAATTACTAGAATGTACACCATCAGATAATGAGATTTACTTTTACTGACTGGTGAATATTGTACATGCATTAGGATGATTACGTATGCACAAGCTGTATTTCACTATTCTGATTGATATTTTTAAATAGATTGAAATTATATCCAGTAAAAAGATTTTTGGGATGGAAGGGGGGCTCTTGGCATGCAGTCATTTATTTAGTTAGTTTGAGTTTGTTCTTTTTACAGGCCTGTATTTTGGCTGTTGGGGGAGCAGAGAAAAGACTCGTAGTAGATGAAGATAGCAATTCTGGGTAAGTCAGGACGTGTAACACTCATCGCTATCCTTGTATCCTAATTAACTGTATATATTGTAGATTCCATAAGAACTGGAAATTTTGGCAAACTGTTAACAATTATTTTGAAAAAATAACTAGTTGATTTAATTGAGATGACCAACAATGCACAAAAGTGGGTACATGTATTACATGTCATACAGTATTTTAATACATAACAGATACCGAGCTGCTAACATGATGTCGGTAACGCTAAGCTGTGACCACAGAGTAGTAGATGGTGCGGTGGGAGCTCAGTGGTTAGCAGAATTCAAGAAATTTATGGAGAAACCAGAGACCATGCTATTATAGCAGACCCTTTGTTGACGTTCTAGGAAATTTTAAGAATTTACATTAGTGCTTATGAATTTTAAGGGAGACAACTCAGTAGACAATGTAAGTGGAACCTCGGCACACACAAAACTGGATGATGCGAATCTCATTATGACAAGTTGTGGGATAAATGTTACTGTGTCTTAGGAGTTTTATATGTAAACAAGTGCTGTTTGTTTAACAACTGTACATGTATATTTATTGGCATACTTTTGACATATGCTTGGTTATATAAATGTTCTGGCTTTCAAGTAAGAATATTTTGGTCTGGGTCAGTGCATCATCTCAGTATATATGTTGATATACTGCCATGCTATATTTACAGGTAAAGAATTATGTTTAATAATTTTTCATTACTGTTCATGGATTTTAATTGTTTTTTTTTTTAATGTTATCAAAAATAAATATATGTGTACCAAGATATGAAAGTTTTTTTTAATTGTTTGCATCATCCAATTTGTATTCATATTCCATTAAAGAAGTGGATTTAATTTGTTTGAAATTTAAATTCAGTGACTTTGTGATATTTTTTGTTCTGTAAACTGTGAAGTTGGTGGTCTTGTTAAAATTTATGAATTACTTAGAGATAATATATATAAAGTGATGTGCAATCCTTTTAACTTGGAGTATAAAGTGTCGTATGAATAATTTTATCATTAGTATCAGAAACTTAATTCTAGAGGACTGTACCTCGTCTTTCTAAGAATCCACAATATTTCAGGTTCAAAGAAAAGTGATGCACAACAACTGTAGAATAGTTTAATACCATAGTTACCTGTGATCAAAATTTTAGATGGGAATACATAGGATAAATCTTAAAAAATCTTTCTCTAAAGAACAGCAAAGCCATGGTTAGTCATATCATATGGAAGCATCCTCAGGTAGTTTACATTAATGTTTGTTCAAATCACTACTTTCAGGGTTAGGGAGGGATCACAATGGTTGATCAAAGTTTTACATGGGAATTTATAGGAAAAATCTTCTCAAGGATAGCAAAGCCATGATTAGTTATATACATATAGAAACATCCTCAGGTAATATTGATTCAAATTTTTCAAATCATGACCCCCTCCTCCTGGGTAGGGTGGGGCCACAATGGGTGATCAGAGTTTTACATTGGAATATATAGGAAATATCTTTAAAGAGCTTCTTCCTAAGAACAGCAAATCCATGATTAGTCATATAATTTAGAAGCATCCTCAGGTAGTGTAGATTCAAGTTTGTTCAAATCATTTGGGGGGGGGGGGGGGGGGGGAGCCACAATAGAAGATCACACATAGAAAAAAATAATCTAAAACCATGATTAGTCAAAGAAATATGGAAGCATCCTCAATTAGTGTAGATTCAAGTGTGAACAGATCATGCCCACTTTCCCTCAAGTGGGGTTGGGAGGATATTTGTGATCACTTGATTACTGAACCGATTTCTGCTTTTCTCCTGACCAATGTGCTCAGGTGAGTGATGTGGCCCATGGGCCTCTTGTTGAAATTATTTCCTATTTTTAATACCTTAAAAAAATATCTAAAAAGCTGTCCACCAAAGAGTGAACAAAATTTCTTTTTCTCCCCCGATTTATTCTATATGAATTTATGATTTATTCTGAATACTGCTATTTTATTGTGAAATGTAATTCACTTAATGTACCTTAATTGTGAAGAGAATGATTACAGGCATTCAGGCCTGCTATTAGATCCTTTTCATGCAATGAATGGAATATTTCTTTACAAAAACAAATCATGCAAAAATACTACTTTATTACTCTTGGAAATCTCATATAGATCATTAAAAAGTACAAAACAATCTGACACATTTAAAATATTTACACAATAAATGAAACATTGTCTTTTAAAAAGCGTATATGTATCAAGAAATTAAAAAATTGAAGGTGAATTAATGTACAATTTCTATACAATATTTCAGTAAAAGATATAAAAATTCAAGCACTCTTTTCCCCAGTTAAAAACATCTTGTAATTAGCACTAAAAGCAAAATTCCTGGTTTCCGCCAGAATCGTAATGATAGCTGTATTGATACAAGGGAGGTAATCCAAAATTGAACCCATTCTCTTCTCCAAACGCTGGGTATGGATAAAGTGAATTGTGATGGTATGCAAGTGGCTGTGACGTCATAACAGGATTGTATGGAGGCGGTGGTCTGTATCCATGCGGTGTCGAATACGCAACGTGCATGGAGATTTTGGAAGATTCGTCTGGCATTTCTTGCGGATCGGTTGCTAATATTGGAGATAAATTCAGAGGACTGACGTTCCGTAAGTCGGGTAACTCGGGCGTTTTTCTGTCGTCTTGATTACTGCTTTGTCCCAAATACGTTATATTATTGGTGACAGGTGATGACGTCTGTGTCAAGTCACTTTCTTTTTTCAACAGGAGATTGAGGGAGTGTTCGATTATATTTGCGTCTGTCAGAGAGATGTCGGCGCTGGTGTTGGAAAGGAAAACATCAGAAACAATACCACTGTCATCCTTGGCACTGGTGTTGGCACTGCGGTTGGTATCGGTCAAATTAAGAACCTTTGTCGTTGATGCATCTTCCTCTGTGGTTTTTGACTCTCCCATTATCGCTTGACTGACGTGAACATTTTCTTCTGAGACGACAGCTTGTTTGTCTGTCGACATGACGTTTCGGTCCTGTTCCAAATTTCGTCTCTCAAAATAGCTCCCCCTCTGAAATATTTCCTCTCTGCTGGGTATTTTACAAAGCTGTTCCTCAAATATTTCCCCTGGTCGACTGCTGCGGGAAAGTATTCTCCTAAATGCCGTCAACTTTCTCTCCAAGTAGATAGCCACCTGTCCCCAAAACTGCCCTGCATTGAGGCTGTAGTAGCCAAACTCCATTTTTCTGTCGGATGATGGACGATAGTCACCTCGAGCGAAACTGATAATACTGGAAGGTACAAGGCACCACAGATATGTTGCTTTTTGGAGCTTCTTAGTCACAGCGACACCTCGCCCTACAGAGATTTTGGAGAAACATTTAGTCTTGGATAAACTGTGTCTGACGGCATTCTTCCAATGTTGACTACTTGACGTCCGGAAGAACGCGAAACGAGCCTGGATATATTTGTAGATTTCTCCAATAGGTAGGCAGAAGTTCGGCGATCGTAGGATAGCCAGAAACACCAGTTCGCTGTAAGAATAACTAGGCTTGGTAGAGGGATCGTCCTCTGGGTTTAGGCGCTCGTATAGGCGCACAAAGTCGTTCATCACTTGCCGAAGCTGGAGCTCTGCAGCCGAGTAGGTCTCTTTTTCTGCTTCTTCCTCATCTGTAAAGAGAATAAATGAAACCTTTATGAGGAAGATAAATGTGCTAAAATGTAATTTTGAACAGTCTTGGATATGGAATAGAGTCAGAAATTTAAGATGCAATCCAGTCATGTGACATTTTTAAATGATCAGAAAATATAGACCCCGTCCAGTAGCACCTTTATATACCCCCCTCCTCCCTGGTACAGGTACAGGTGGAAAAAAAATATTTCCTTTGGACGGATTTTTTTTTCATGAGAGCGAAAAGGTGGCAATTTCATGTTAAAACCAACTATGGTTAATTTTAAAATACTCTTTGTTATTTGTATATCTAAAAGATATAAACTGACCACTTAAATTCAGAAATCAGTTTTGGCTGGCTATTTGTAGACAATAACATTCATGAATTCCTTTCATGTTATCGCGACTGGTGTTTACCTTCTGTTACTATCCAATAATTTATTGCATGCAAAATAATTCGCCAAAATGAAATAACAAAATTCTGCCCAAATGAAATTGTAACAAAATTCCGCCCAAATGAAAGAACTCCGTCCAAATGAAACGCACCCTCCTCTCAGTTCCAAAACAAAAAAACGACCCCCCCCCCCAAAAAAAAGGGTATAAGCACAAATCAGATTTTCTTGCTGGTGCATAGCTTCATCTTATATTTTTCAGTATTTTTTTTCCTCCATTGTCAGATTATAATGAAATTCGGTCGGAACTTTTCTCATTACTTGAGAGTTTTAAATATATATATATATATATATATATATATATATATATATATATATATATATATATATATATATATATATATATATATATATATATATATATATATATATGTACATGTGCAGTGTACATAATAAATGAAAGCAACACAGTTGGCACGAGTTTAGTTTCAAATGGAGTAGTTATGAAATATAGATACATTTGCAGCACTTAATAGACATGGGGGTTTTACTTTAGCTTGAAATATACAAATTCTTTAATTTAAAAAAATCTAAAAACTTTATGTCAGTGTTTAAGGACATACGCAACGTACCTTACCTACTGATAATTTTTCAAGATATTTTTAATTTAAGATTATAGTGCCATCAGATGTTCGTAGACAAAAAAGCAGCATGCATTACCAGGGGTTTTGAAAAGATATCAATTGATGAAAATTCTTGTACAATTCAAAGAAAAATATACAAAAATTACTAAACATATGTTCTAGATGTTTTGTTTATCCAAACTTGTTTTAGAAGAAGTGTACAACCGCATATATAGACATTTAAATGTAGCACACAGTTCCTTTAAGTATCGGAACTCTTCAACTCCAGAGAAAAAGACAATAAAGTTCAAACTACGTTGCGTATGTCCTTAAGTTTAAGATTTTTATGAAACGTCTATGGAATATATGAAATTGAATTAGAGACCTGGTACATAATACTAAGAAATCCTACAGCTATTTCTCTTGTAATAACTGCATGATGCCCATAAAAGGTTATTATTTTCAATGCCTTAAACTTTGGTTGCGACTAACATTTCATGTATGAAGTTGCATCAGTCTTCTGCGATATTATAATTTGTTCCGACATTATTGAAACTGTAAAAAAATATATCTCTATATATATATAAATAAATATCTTATTTCAGTAGTTTTTAGGTGATATGTCACTGACACTTGTTTTTGTGATAAAAGTTTATTCCCAAAGTATATTTACAATATTGGATAAAACGATGTGTTTCAATTTAACAAATTTACTAAACAATAAGACTAAATACGCCTATGCTTTACTCATTTCGACAATTTTTTTTTTTTTTTTTTTTTTTTTTTTTTTTTTTTTTTTTTTTTGTATTTCGTCTCCCTTCATCGTAGGTTCTGAATTTTAAGATGTTAAACGTGAACTGAATTTCAGACAGCCTCAATGGTTAAAAAAAGTACAAAATATGCCGTTTTTCTAAGTTTGTAGACTGAATTATGTATAAATTAAATAATGGTATTGGGATAAAATTTCCCTTTACAACTGCATATTGAAACTTTTTTCTACTGCTTTTTCATAATTATAATCGTTAATACGCAAAGAATACCTCGCAGAGTGTTCGCATGTTTTGCCGCCGGTTCCTCGAAGTTCTCGGAATTCTCTCGTTTTCTCTTCATCATCGTCTCAAAAAGTTCACTCAAAGCCTCAGACTTTGGCAGAATTCATTCGTCTTCTCGTGTCAAAGTAAAAGTTTCTTTTGGTCCGAATTTGAATTTCTCAAAACTATAAGATAAGAATGTCAGTTTGTTTGCTCCGTAGACTGAGTTTTAGTTGACATCGTGAGCTCAAATCTCACGTGCGCCGCAACGACCCGTGTCAACATACACGATAACGTACTGGTCAACATTGCTCAATCCATGGTGGCGTGTTTAATAGGTTACCGTTAACCAATTAAGAAAACAATGACAAATTAGGAATTTTATAACAAATTCAAATGTAAACTATCAAATAAAAGAAATTCACACGGGGAAAATACATAGGTTCATTGGAGTATATAATAAGCGTTTTTTTTTCTTTCTTTCTTTCTTTTTTTTTTTTTAATTCTGTTTCGTGAATAAAAATCGAGTCTTAGTTTGACATTCATTTGAAAGAAAAAATCTCACTCAATTTGTCAATAAATAAAAGTTTATATGGTTAATTGTATTATACTTCTTTCTGAACGCATAAATTATCTTTAATCTCGATGCCTAAATTTTGTAAACGACAACAATTACTCGTTTAATTACAAAAAACATCCCTTGTCATAAATTAAAACACCCAACGAAAAAAAAACCCATTATAATGCAGATTTTTAATACAATTTATTTTTTCCTTAATTTGTCCTATGTTTTTCAAATTTATTATATTGACAGCCGCCTTGAACCATTCATTAAAATGACTGAATTCACTGTGTTTACACTTCAACTGTTTTATCGCTCCCATCTCCACATTTAATGAATCTAGAAGAATTTTTTTATGTAGTGACCTTTTTCACATCTTTATTTCTAAATGGGTGTTTCAGAATAACTGGATGCAATAAAATTATGCAGAGATGAATTTGTACATATTTATATTCACTTACAGAAAATCCTGTTTTAAACAACGCAATAATTTTACGGCGTTTCTGATATTGTCTTAATCTTAATCATGCATGTTCAATAAAAGGAGAAAAAAAAGATTATTCATGATTTATTAAATAAATTATAAACAAAATCAATGTGAAATAAAAAATGCACAAATATAAAAATTCATTTACAATGCAGATAGTGTGAGACAATTGTTAATTACAAATTACATCCCCTTTCTAATAATTTAAAAAATTAATAGAATATATTGCAACATGGAGAAATATGAAACATAGTCCAATAAGTTTTGATTAGTAATACTGATTTATCAGAATCTCTCTCTCCACCCCCCCCCCCCCCCTCACATTCCATTAAATTCAATATTACAATCATGTTAAAAAAATAAACAAATACAATAAATATTCTTTCTATTGTACTGAGTATTGGTTGACAGCAAACCTACTGGTACATATCACAGAAATGAAGGAACATAAGTCCCTAGTGTCATGATTGTGTATATTAAGTATGTTTGAGCATTTCTAACAGTGACTAAGAATCACTCCTTGCCTGTCTACAACATGTGAATGTGTTTTATCATAGTGACTCAACTCTCATTTTTGTGTACTAGTAATCTCCTTATTAGTCCCCCTACTGGTGAAATTGGAGGGGGCTATAGGTTTCCTCCTCGTCTGTCCGTCTGTCTGTCCATCCATGTCTGTTTCCCTTGGTTTTCAAAACTTTTTTTCTTGCAAATATCGAGCTGATTTTTGGTATGTGAGTGTCCCTTGATGAGTTGAAGACCCAATTAGCATTTCATTTAGCTTCAATGACTTTTTAATGGAATTGTGGCCTTTTTAATTTTCAAGTTTTAATTTAATTTACACTTGTATTGCTTATGCAAAACTCTAAGAATGTTTGTTAGAGGGCTGGGTGGTTGTGGTCATTTTCAGACTATATTGATCTCCTTTAGAAGAAGAGCTCCATATAAAAATATACAAAAATGATGAAATTTTAAAACTTAAATGTATGAAATTTTTCTTTGCCAAATGACAGTTGACAGCTTAAGATATCATATCTAAAAAATTAAGTTATATCTGATGGTTAATTTGTTGACCCCCAGCCTCCTTAACTCTTCATTTGATAATAAATATTATATATATTAGATTATTTACAAAAATTATATCTAGAAGACGCTGAGAGGTGACGTTGAGCCCATTTTTTTTTTTTCAGGAAACTCTTATTTTCCTTTTTCTCTTGTACATGTATGTGCTTTAAAATAACAAATTTCCTATTTTGACAAGATTTTAGAGAATACTTGTAATTATCAAATCAAATTAATTTACACGTATTTTTGATTGTATTGTCTCTCAGATCAGTTTTCTTTTTGATTATAGCAGAGCATAATATTAACATTTATATAAGAAGCTTACATCAGTACATGTTAATGCATTACTATAGCAAATGCAGACTGACAAACAACATGTCGATTGAGACAAAAATAGGAATAGTGAGGAGTTGTCTCCCTTCATCATGCCAGTACACTTATGTGGGGGCTGCTAAAACCCTCTCTCTGTGGTGTCGGATATTCCTTGTCTGTCTGAGGAGGGGTGACCGCTCATCAGGTTCCCTGTCAGAATCCCCCTCCGAATCCACATTGTACCGGGCTGGTACCTGGTTATATTCTGGTTGGACTTTTTTCCCACATCTTCTGGAACTTTGTGGAAAGTCTGGCTTGTTCCAGTCACGATAAAACTGCACGAACGCTCCAAAGACACAGAACAAAAACCAGGCACAGCTTAGGATTATCTCTGAAACAAGACCATGCAGTATACCCAAAGAAATGAAACTGCTTCATAATAATACTCCATTTAAAACACCAGATAAAAATCTTATCTACTTTTTGCAAAACATTTTCTTGATAAAGAACATGTGCATCTCAAAAAACAAATCTCAAAAAAAGTTTCTAACATAAACATAGGGACAACACAATATGCTGTAAATGATGATATATAGTATACCTGGCAAGAGAAAGGGTCCAGTGTTAATGACATTAATGTAATCAAAATCTGTGGAGTGTCTGATAGAGTTGACAACGATGTACTTCATTCCAGTGTGGAGGAAGATATCGGGAACCAAAATAATTAGATAGGATCCAATGAATGCACACGATAAAATGTTCAGCTGAAAAAAAAAATAAAAATACATCACAGGTACTTGTGGACATGCCCCACCCCACCCCCCACCCCCCGATATTCAACCCCGAGGTTTGTTGGACATTTTTTTCACAAATTATATTTATTACACTTATTCATCATGTGTACCATAGGAAAAAATTGTGAAAACCCCAAAATAATCGTTCCATACAAAAATACCCCACTATAGAGAGATCTCTCTTATAATGTATAGTGGGGTATTTTTGTGTGGAACGATTATTTTGGGTTTTTCACGATTTTTTCCTATGGTACACATGACGAATAAGTGTAATAAATATAATTTGTGAAAAAAATGTCCATCAAACCTTGGGGTTGAATAACGGGGGGGGGGGGGGGGGGGGGGGGGGATGTTCCTGTCCACAAGTACCTGTGAAATACATGTATTACAAATACATATATTACAAATATATCAATTAATAAATGTATTAAAAATCCTTCTGACAGTTGATTTAGGAGAGAGAGAGAGTTCAAATACATTACTTTTGGCCTTAAAAAGTGTTTTTGTAAAAATATAATTACCACTTTAGTGTAAGCCAGAATAAAGACAGGAATAGCCAGGACTCCGCAGGTGAAAGCCATACCATAATTAAAGGAACTGTCCCAGTACGACAGATTACCTGTTAAAAGTAGACAAGATCTGTACAAATACATACGTACCATTGAAGTAAATGCCTCTACTGTTCAAAGTTAACTCTCACCAAACTTTGTGTAGAAGACAATGCTGGAGATGATGTATCCTGCTACCAGTCCAGAAAATAGAACCGAGAGAGCAGGTGCCCCCACAAGCTCGTACATCCCCACCCAGAAGACAGCACATACTACACTCAGAATGACCATAACGACAAGCACAACTGGAAAATAATCAAACATTCAATAATATAAGAGGCTGAAATAAAATATTTTATGAATTTGTCACCATTTTATTGAAATCAAATATTGGGGATGTTCATAAGCAAAATCTTTGAAAAAAGATGTTTTAATGTGTCTGAATATCATGTGCATAATAATTTGAAATGTTTACATTAATTAAGATTGCATTTAATGATTTGTACCTGTATCACTTTGGCTGGAATATAGACACTGTACACTGTAGAAAATGATGCAAAATCCCAGGAAGGCACAAAAAAAGTTACCTGTAATAGAAAATATCTATCTTATAAGTGACCATAAACAGAACAGTCCTAAATTATTACCTTACAGGTATCATACCTTTATAAAGCTACCTCTAATAAAAAGTTACCTGTAACAGAACATATCTGCCTTATAAAGTTACTTTAAACAAAACAGTCCTCAATTACTGTAACATCTCTAATTTTTGTGGGGTTTAATTTTCACGGTATTTGAGGTATGAAGAGACCCATGAATTCATGTCCATCACCAAATGTAAAATATCATATACAAAACTACCCAACACTTCTCAAACCACAAAATCAAATCCCCTCAAACCAATAGTTTTTCCTCAAGCTTCTAAAATTTGACCCCACGAAAATATGATTTTACAGTATTACCTAATACTAGTAACATACTTTTATAAAGCTTCCTCAAACAGAAAGTTACCTGTTATAGAACATAACTACTCTATAAAGCTACCTTCAACTAAATGGTCCACTAAATTATTCTTACAGGTAAAAATAACAATCCAAACTTATAAGGCTTCCACTAATAGTGAGTTAACTTGGAACATTCCTACCTTACAAGGTATGTTAAACAACTATAAAAGTTATCTATGTATCAAAAATATTCTGCCTTATAAAGTTACCTATGACAGAACTATTCTGCCTCGTGATCAACACATTCCTTGGCCAAAATTGATCACTAATGATCCAATATTCAGGTTATTTACATTTTGGATACAGAAGAGTCATCTCCCCTTTACTTGACAATTTCTGGTCCTTTTCATCTATTCTATATAATTTACAACACTAAAATTGGATCACTAATGATCCAATATTCAGGTTATTTACATTTTGGATACAGAAGAGTCATCTCCCCTCTACATCTATTCTATATAATTTACAACATTAATACCTAGATATATAACAATAATCATTATTCATTATACATAACAACAATCACGAGAACTAAACATCTTCTGTATAAGCCTTTTATACATAGAGTTAACCAATATCATTTGAATTTAGTGTACAAAAACATGTACTATAAATCAATTGTTTTGGGGAGAACTTTATTTTCCCATAATTATGTAAGACATTCTGCTTGGGAAAATTTCACTCTTGCTTACATTTGTATTTTTAAAGATTATAATTAAAGCTAGCATAATAGTCAAAATTTTCTCTTGCTTATAAATACAAAGTAACCATCTCTCAAAAATAAGGTGTAGTCACAAAAATTAGATGATCTACAGCATATAATAGACAACTGAATGTTAATTTCATATTTTTTTAGCTCCCTGTCTAAACAATCCAATAGCTTTAATATATAACATTAACTTAATAATTAAACCATTGAAATAACTGATCAGGAGTTTGGTACCAGTATAAATGTTACATATACAGGTATATAAATTTGTTATAGAGTGATTCCACTGAAGAGGTAATTTTGGATAAATTTGGTATTTTGGAGTCTCATCTTCCAAACGTTTATGAATATGTTACTTTAAAACTCATTATACTTTTAACAAGTGCATTATACCTCCTCAAGACCTCTAAAAAATCTACCTAGCTTTACACGTAAATCTTACCGGTTCTAAAAATCTACCTATCTTTACAAGTAAGTCTTACTGGTTCTAAAAATCTACCTATGTTTACACATAAATCTTACCGGTTCTAAATAATCTGTGTCCCAGAAAAGTTAGGAAGACTCCAGCTATCCCCAGTAGAACTGCAGTTATCATCCAGAATACACCTGTATAGGAAATTGAGAAAGGTAACCACAGAAATGTGGAGATTTAACAATTATTGACAGCTTATGAACTACAAAGTGCTAATAATGCTTTTTGAATGCCTAATTATAATTAACAAGGCTTCTGTAAATGTTAGATTTTTTGGGGTACCATTTACTGACCATACATTTTACAGCCATCCCTTTGTTGTAAATTACAGCTGTATGTGACCTTAGGGAAATATGCTGCCATGGTAACACCTGATGGGGTCGTTGCCTTGACAATCATATTATACACTGCCCCTGTTCCTGTGTATGATGAGGCCAGAAATTCTGGTTTTTGTACAGTGGCTTTATTTTTTGTTTTAGCAAGCTGAAATTAAACATTTGTAATTAAAGATTCATATAGATCTAGAAATTGATTTAGAATGGTTGTTTTAGATCCATTGTAACATCATAATAAGATTTTTCATGTACTTTATAAAATCCGAAAATTTACACAGAAAATCATCATTTTAATACAATTTCTTTTTGTGTAAGTGTGAGCCAGAAAAAAAATATCAGAATCTGTAGGGAAGCATATAAATGCTGCCTTAAGAAAGGGAAGCATATAAATGCTGCCTTAAAAAAGGGAAGTTTATAAATGCTGCCTTAAAAAAGGGAAGTGTATATATGCTGCCTTAAGAAAGGAAGCATATAGTTTCTGCCACAAGAGGTCCAATTCTTCTCTTCTTGATTGTTAAATACTGTACGAGATGTGTACTTAAAAAGTGGGCTTCATATTTTAGCGGCTTTGGCGCAGACAACAATGCGTTAATTCATGAATACCATTAATAAATCATAAATAAATACAACACATGGCTTAGACGTGTGTAACGCTAATTCCTGATTATGCCAACCACTCCATACCCAGTGATTGCACTAAATTTTGAATACGTCAATTTATGTACACGTACAGTATAAGTTGTCTAACAAACCAAAAAACAAATTTACAACAGGATCTGGGCTTTGCAGAAGATATTTGTCATTGAAAATTATCAGGCCAGGCACAAAATCAGCTTAAAAAAATACATATATATAAAAGTACTAATAACCTCTATCTTCCTGAATCAATAAATCTAACCCTTAATTTGATCCACCTCTAATTAGAACTGGGTAAAAATCAGCAACTAGAAGTGAATACTGAAGACTCTCTATACACTAAAGGGAAATGGTTTTTGACATTCACTGAAGACTCTCTATACACTAAAGGGAAATGGTTTTTGACATTCAATGAGAAAAATACATAGTATAAAGGTGTTAATATTGAGCTTGTGCTTATATGTTTCATTTTCAACATGAGGTACCAGGTAATTACCCCTAGGAAAAATGTTCCAAGGCAATGAAGTATTAGTGAACAGAAATCACTGTTGCTTACCAAAGTGGAGAAAATACATGTAAATAAAGTGTTCCATTAATTTGTTTTGGCCTATTCAATTAATATTCTAAGATTGTTTGAATTTATTTCATATTGAGTAATACCCTGTAGATTTCAATTTGGTATATTTTTTTATCGAAGGGCAGATTACTCTAATTGAGTAAAAAAATATCACAGATTCGGAACTGTTTAGTGTGCAGTGTATAAAACACATGAAAATCTTCTTTACCAGGACACCATTAGCCAAAACATCTTCAGCTGTCATCATTTGTTTCAATGTTGAAAAGTACTCCCCTGTCGTAAAATCATTCTCAGATAGGTATTTGACATAGATGTTGTATTCTAACATATCCTGGAAAGATCTATCTTCACAATCAGGCTGGGCAGATCTATTCCTCAGAGGGATGTTGGACCACTGGAATTCTACTAGATTCTTGGTGGTGGTGTAAGAGACATGAAGATTGGCATCAACCTCCAAGGAAAACTCTAGATTACAACCACCAACTAGGGGCTCTGTGTAAAATAGAGAAATCCAGATTACATCCATCAACCAGGGGCTCTGTAAAATAGGGAAGAATCTAGATAACATCAACAACTAGGTGCTCTGTAAAATAGAGAAATCCAGATTACATCCATCAACCAGGGGCTCTGTAAAACAGGGAAGAATCTAGATAACGTCAACAACTCAGCACTCTGTAAAATAGAGAAATCCAGATTACATCCATCAACCAGGGGCTCTGTAAAACAGGGAAGAATCTAGATAACATCAACAACTAGGTGCTCTGTAAAATAGAGAAATCCCGATTACATCCATAAACCAGGAGCTCTGTAAAATAGGGAAAAATCCAGATAACATCAGCAACTAGGTACTCTGTAAAATAGAGAAATCCAGATTACATCCATCAACCAGGAGCTCTGTAAAATAGGAAAGAATCCAGATAACATCAACAATTAAGGGCACTGTAAAATAAGGGAGAAATCCAGATTGTAGCTACCAACGTAGGACTTTGCAAAATAAGAAGAAATCCAGATTACAGCTACCATTATGGAGTATTTAATAAGAAACAGTTTAATTTTATGGTATATGGCTTACAGAATACCATACCATAGATGCAATTTTAAAGCAATATGAGCTGCATCTTTGATGTTGGAAATTTTTTTGTTGTAAAAATGTAATTAACTATTTCAATGGCAGGGAAAAAGAAGGTTTAAAAACTTCTGCTGTTCATATTAGCGATGGAAGAACTATTTTTAAGCTTTTATTGAAGCAGAATTACATTATTGTCTCCTGCACAATATTAATTCCTTATATAATACTATATATGCGATTGTACAGAAGTTTTTCTTATAGAACAGTGATCCAAAGGTCGTGAGTTTGAATCTCGGCCATGACTGACTTAAGTCAATAAAAAATAGGTAGCAACTGTTCCTTTGCCAAGCACTCGGCACTTTGAAGTGAAAGTTGCGGGTCTTTGGATGAGACTTTAAAAACTGAGGCCCCGTGTCACGGCAGGCGTTGGTACGATAAAGATCCCTCACTGTTCGATGGCCCTGAATGTCGAGTAAAGGTCTAAATTTGAAGCCCTTCACCGGTATATGGTGACGTTTCTATATGTCACTGAGTGAAAAATTCTTGAATGGGACATAAAACAACATACAATGAATCAATCTCCTAAAACAACTTTTAAGTGTAATTGATCATAAACGTTTAAATTACATACAAATTTAACAAAACAGCACATTTTAACAGCAAAATAAAATTCTCAAAAATGCAGCACATATTACATTTTAAACACTGAATACAGTGGAGCCTTGCAAATCTGGATGCAAATAATAATCTGGATAATTCATCTTCCAGACAAATTTTTGGAAAACAGAATTAATATTTCTATCTACAAATTATAAAAGGTCTGCTTCAGTAATCTGGATGCTTCATTAATTCAGACAATTTGCTTGGGAACACCCAGACTTATGAGGCTCCACTGTATATATTCATCATTTATGATCTTTAAACCTTACCATTTTTTGACATCAAGAAAACTGCCAGAAGAACTTGCACATCTTCGCTATGGTTAGACAGAAGGTACCAAGTCACTCCTGTCTGAGTGGGTTGCAGAACAGAGACAATTCCAATGTCTACCCCAGTCAAAGACTTCCCCACCCTTGGTGTAGGAGTGGAAGACAGGGTGACATTTTTGATTTGGGAATGAACTTGACATGTTACATAACTAATGTCTGCACTCACATTCCCCAAAGTTACAGAATTATTGCTCTGTCCTTTAATGTTTACCAAAACTGGTTGATTCAGTTTGACATCTGGAATAAAAATCAAAACAGGAATTAAAAGAAACAGTATCAATATCAGAGTGCTTTAATTTTTTCTGTGAGTTGACTGTGGCAGTGTCTGGGTGGTTGTTTTGATAATATAGATCTAACACGGGGGTCCCCATCTCTGACAGGTCAAACCGAAGACTTTTAAAAATGTAACGGAAAGGCCAATTGCTCAGCTATTTGAATCTTTCTAGCAGTTTGGTTCTGTCTTTACTTTAAATGTTGAACTGTAATGTCCAGCATCTGTTATCTTTTTTTTTAATTTTAATTATGGAATTAATGAGAACCACTAAATAAACAGCTTTAAAACCTCCGGTCACTATCTTACCATGCATTACAAAATCACCCCTTAAAACCACCCCTCAAAAACAGCCCTTAAAACCTCCTGTCACTATCTTACCATACATTACAAAATCACCCCTTAAAACCACCCCTCAAAAACAGCCCTTAAAACCTCCGGTCACTATCTTACCATGCATTACAAAATCACCCCTTAAAACCACCCCTGAAAAACAGCCCTTAAAACCTGTCACTATCTTACCATGAATTACAAAATCACCCCTTAAAACCGCCCCTCAAAAACAGCCCTTAAAACCTCCGGTCACTATCTTACCATACATTACAAAATCACCCCTTAAAACCACCCCTCAAAAACAGCCCTTAAAACCTCCTGTCGCTATCTTACCATACATTACAAAATCACAATCCTTTTGGATAATAATTTAACAACTGATCATAATGACATGATAAAGAACCTTCAATATTAAATCAATATAATTGCAGACATCTGTATTTGGGATTTATTGACAACAACCCATGAGGTCAGGGCAAGCAAGAGATTTTCTAAGATAATCAAAACTAAAAATTAATTCTTTAAGCTGAATAGCTGATTTTGTTCTGACAAATTTTCCCTTTTTGGATTAGCTATCACCATCAAGGAAGTACAATGACGTGTATTATACATGTACATGTTGGATACCCAGGAATTTTAGTTCACTCACATATACATGTATGCTACATGGTTTCTTTCCCCCCCCCCTCCCCCCCCCCCCAAAAAAAATATCATTTTGAAGATCTATATTAATACTGAAGTGAAAATTTATTATGCAAGTTGCATGCAACGAATATATAAGAACATAACCCTATTAGCTATTCATAACACTGAATTAGTGGGAAGTTGTGATTTTTGGACATTCATTTTCCTTGAGAGTAGTCAAGCAAAATGCCAGGTGGTGAATTCTACTTGTAATACTTCCCTGGTGTATGACATCTTTCGAACAAGGTAAATACAATTTCTGTATGGTTATAGAAAACTATTTTTACCAAGATTGTTTTTATTTATATTTATTTATATTTTGTACACTTGCATGTATGTATGTACTTTAGTATGTGTTTTAGTAATCTTGAAAACACACTGTATTTTTCATTTTGTATGTAACATGGTTGTATGCCAACATGTTTGGTGAATCAATAAATAAATTGAAATTGAATATATTGCCCAGTATCTTAACATGTTTAAAAATAGGAAAATTATTGACTTTACATTGTAACCACTTTTACTCACAGACACTTACTAGCTTACCTACAGATCAATCTTTAGATAATAATAATAGGTTGTTTGATTACCTCCCTGTTGTTTACATATAGTTTGGTTCTATATTCATCATATATTTTCTGGTATTTATAAATTATGGCAATATTTACTTATTAATGGCAACATATATAGTAAATATGTTTATTTTAAATGCACCCCTTTTGGTCAACTTTTATTTTATGTTATACTAATACAGAGAAACAGATTGTTGAGAGGAGTAAAATCCTTCCTAACTGAAATCAGGTTAGATTATTTCCCTTGAGTCACTGACAGCTGTATGTGGTAGGCTACACCTCTAACTTGATTATATGAAATCTAGGAGGTAATCAAGCAAATTCCATTAAATATTAATCATAGAATGGAGAAAGAATACTGGAAAATGACATTTGACCTAGGAAGAAGTATTCCAGTAAACTAAATCTAGTCCAATAATTTTAACAGTATCTAAAATACAAGACATATGTATGCATTCTATAGGAGATAAATTCTTAAACCTAGGAATTATACTTTACCAATTGCACTGAAAACAGTTGTCAATAGGATGGTTAATGGAATAAATTTTACCACAACAGACATTATCCCATCAGTGAAAGTGAAAGTAGGAGCTGATTATCTTTAGTTTACACGAATGCTAGTGAAATTGTGTTTTTGGTCATCTCTAGTTTATTCAGTAATTTCAGAGAAAACGAAACATTAAATACCCAAATTCAAATACAGCAAACACTTCTTAATTTATATCATTAAATAATGAGCATTTTACATGACAAACTCTATTTTTATTTCCGATACATTTCCTAGTTTTACACCATTTTACTTTCATACCGAACCCGAACTAATTTATGAACAGCATGGCGGCAAATGAGAAATCGTTGCATAGTAGAAAAGAATCATTAATATTAGAACTCTACAAAGTAGAGGCTGTAAAGTTTGGAAATTTTAAGTTGAAAAGTGGCATTGATTCTCCAGTGTATTTTGATTTGCGCGTCATCGTGTCTTATCCCACTCTTTTGGTAAGTCTCTCAACAAGTGAACATTACAGTAAATTACACATACATTCATTGTTTTCCAATGTTCGATTAAATTTGGCTTGTGTACAGCTTACGACCAGTTTTAGAACTTTTTTTATTCTTTGCTCTGTTTGATTAAAATTTCTGAAAAATCTTAGGCAAACTATATCTATTCTTCTGTTTATGAACAAAAAAAATTCCTGCTGGAACTCAGGCAAACAATAAGAAATGATTTGTTTGATGTACTCCAACCGACCCACCAAAATCGCCCCTACCCAAACATTATTATTAGTACTTTAAATTTTAATTTTTTTGTCTGTCATTTTTCTATAATGCCTTTTAGCTTAAAATTTTTACAGCAATAGATATTAAATCTGTTTACCGGTAGGTATCTATGAATTCTTTTTTAAGTCTGGGATTTTTATGACAATTATAAGTGTTAAAGATTATTTAAAGAAAACTGCCTACCTATTTACCACCTTGAAAAATGTGGGTCGGAGTACATCAAACAAAATGTTTTTTAATGATGACCTAATCAGTGTTTTCTTTGTTTGTGTTTATTTCTTTAGAAAGGTAGTGTAGATTATTCAAGATTAATCTAATTTTTCAAATTTTAGCATGATATCAGTACTGAGTTCACAAACAGCTGAATCAGTTAATTAAACTGAACATTAACATTTTAAAAACAGAATTTTTAAAATATTTATTTATAAACTTGATTCTTCTCTCCCTTTAGAATGAAGTAGCTGAAATGACATGGGAGATTGCTAGATCAGCTGACTGTCATTTTGACTCTGTTTGTGGAGTACCGTACACAGCGCTTCCAATAGCAACAGTATGGAGTTACAAACCTGATAGAATGAGACTGAAAAACTATTCTGTAGAAAAAGATGTCATTGACAATCAGAATTTTGATTTTATATCATGTAAAATGTTAATACTACATTTATGCTGCAAGTTAACAATTAAAAATTATTATAATGATGTTGCTTCTTTTCACTATGTTTTAAAACTACGTTTCAGTGCTTCTCTGTTCACCACAATGTGCCAATGTTGATTCGCAGAAAGGAGGCAAAAGATTACGGTACGAAGAAGATGGTGGAAGGCCATTACAAAGAAGGAGAAAACTGTCTGATTGTAGAGGACGTGGTCACAAGTGGCGGATCTGTAATGGAAACTGTTCAGGTTAGATGCTATAATAGTTCAATATGCTGTATTCAGATCAAAATTAGGACAAGTTGAATCTAAGAATATTGAACTACTGGGTAAGAATTGACATTTTCAGAGTGTCATTTAAAGTAAAATTCAACTGGCTTTCTTTTTTCTTTCAGACGCTTCAGTCAATATCAGTAAATGTCACTGATGCTATAGTTTTGCTGGATAGGGAGCAAGGTGGAAAAACAGCCCTGAGGAAAAAAGGCATTACACTTCATAGGTACAAAATAATTAGCGATGAAACGGCAGTGATTAAAATATTATATTCAAAATTACAATGTCAGAAAGACACCAGTCGCAGTAGCCTAGTGGTAGGTTATTCGCTTCATAATTGGGAGGTACCAGGTTCGATTCTCATTCACGACACCATGTCAGACCTAAGACATTAACATAGGTAGGGACTGTTCCTTTGCCAAGCACCTGGCACTATAGGAGTGAAGTCTTATAGGAGGTCTTTTGGATGAGACCTTAAAAACTGAGGTCTAATGTCATGGTAGGCATTAGCACGATAAAGATCCCTCATTGCTCAATGGCCCTGAGTGCCGAGTAAAGGTCAAAATTTGAAGCCCTTCACTGGTACATGGTGACGTCTCTATATGAATGAAAAATTCTCAAACAGGATGTAAAAAACAAACATTATCAGAAATGGGCAGGATTGGGAGGGGCAATCCTAATCAGAATTTTGGAAAAGAAAAAATTTCAGATATCCAAAATTATCAAAAAAAAAAAAAAAAAAAAAAAAAAAAAAAAAAAAATCAAAGTGGCTATTGAATTTTTGACCACAACTAATATGACATCAGTATCCTCACTGACATTTTGAAGATATGTTCCTACAAAATATTAGATATCCTAGCTAATATTAGGTATCCTAGCTAATTAATATTAGATATCCTGGCTAATTAGTAACTCCTATAAAAGATTTAAGTACAAATAAGATATAGAAAAGTGATAAATATCCAGGATATTATGTTAGATATCTGTTAACATGCAGGTTTATTTTTTCTGTTTGGCCAGTGTTTGTACTTTGACAACAGTACTAGAAGTGCTGGAATCCCACAGCAAGTTAGATAAAAACATTGTGGAGAGGACAAGAAAATTTATCCAGGAGAACAGATTTGATGTGGATACTTCAACAAATGGCCCAGAGAAAAATGTACTGGATCCAAATAAAAAAACAAAATTTACAGTATGTACAATTTTTAATCAATTTTAGCTTAACTTTACAAACACATCTACAAATTTTGTGGTCATTATAAATTTCCTATCAAAGAGGTCATTGGATATTTGCTGACTCTAGTCTGAATATCATTTAATATTAAGCAATATGTAAAACTTTAAACTTTTCAGAAGTTTTCATCTGCACAAAAATATGCAATTTTTAGTAAATATTTCAGGTCTTTAGTTACGCAGACAAAATGAAGATTTGCAAAAATGCTGTTGTCCGTGGTTTGTATGAAATAATGGACAAAAAGAAAACAAACCTGGCTATTTCTGTTGACCTTACTAACTCAGAGGAAATATTAAAGGTAAAACACGGGTACCTAGTAATAAAACATCTGTGAAGATAACATTCAATTTAAGGTCAAGATCTAGTAAATGATTTTAGACTGCATTTTTGATGCTAGATCCATTATGACGTCATAATCAAATTTAACTTTCTTTTTTCCCGTACTTTACGGCTGTAATGGAATTATGTAGAAAATAAGTATTTTCCTGGAATTCAATTTGAAATCATGTGAAAAGTAATCCCGAAACCTATATTCAATTTAATATTATTTTAAAGAAGAGGCCAAGAACATACAAATTACCGTTTTCTGAGAGACTGCAGGCAATCTGGATACATTTAATTTGTCTGATATGGAAAAAACTCCCATATTCATGACTGATTTTCCTAATTTTTCAATAAAAATGACAGTTTAATATATGATTTTTCGTCTTGTTTACCTACAAATTATGCCCCGAAACACCTTATTTGACCAAGCTATATTTATAAAGCTTCATTAAAGGAATTTATTTCTCAAATTTGAGAATTCTGTAGGCTCCTTTTATTTACTAGATCTTGACCTTAAGTCTAAAGCGTAAGACAACAAGGGTCATGTTTTAAGAGATGGATTTAATTTTTGAGAATTCATGAGAACATGAACTACGTTGCTTCACGCCTGCATATTTCATGAAGTGCGTTAGCTCAAAAATATTTACATTATTTTTCTGATGACTTGCCACATATTTTTGTCATTTAATGATCATTTTTGAAAAAAAAAGTTTGCACTATTTTTTGACTTCAATCACATCACAATGGAAATATTCTTACTCATCCCATGATACATGAGAACATGAACTTTTTCTAATTTGCAAAGAATCTTAAGGAAAAATATTTGGAAATGTAAATATTTCTGAATCTTTTAGTTGTTAGATGCTGTTGGACCTTATATATGTATAGCAAAGACTCATGTGGATATCATCACAGATTTTTCTGAGAATTTCATCAAGTCACTGACAGATCTGGCCGTAAAGCATCATTTCCTTCTGTTTGAGGACAGGTACATGTAATATAATGAAGTTCTAATTCAATTTTCTTTATTTATACCTTATTTTCATTAAAAGTACTCATAACATATTGTTTGAACCTCATATATATATTAATTTCACATTAGAACCTAACTTTTTAAATCTTTCAACAAAGGCATTATAGGTTAATGTGTAGAATATCTGAACAAACATGATATGACTTTGATCCCTGACCTCAGATTATTAGAATTAACCCATTATCTACAAGACAGATACCTCACAGCTATTGCACTATTAGATGACCTCAGAAACTTTCAGTATCTTACATTATTGACTTTGCTTTGATGTTGGTTTTTTTTTTATCTCACCTGAGCTGAAGACTCATGTGAGCTTTTCTGATCATATTTTGTCCATCTTGCTGTCTGTCTGTTTGTCTCTCTGTCCATTTGTAAACTTTTCACATTTTTGACTTCTTCTCAAGAACCATTGGGCCTATTTCAATCAAACTTGCCATAAAGTACCGGTATCCTTGATTGAATGGGATTTAAGTCTGTTCACATGAAGGGCCACTTCATCTTGCAAGAAGAAGAGATAATTAAGAATTAGTGAAAATATGTCATATTTTAAAAATCCTCTTCTCAAGAATCACTGGGCATGAAAATATGAAACTTAAGTGAAAGCTTCCTCTGGTAGTGTAGATTCAAATTTATTAAAATCATGACCATAAGGGATAGGGTGAAGCTACAATGGGCATTCAAAGTTTTAGAATATCTTTTAAAATCCTCTTCTCAATAATCACTGGGTCAGAAGAATTAAAAAAAAACTTGTGTGAAAGCTTCATTGCATACTAGTGTAGATTAAAGTTTATTCAAATCATGACTCCTGGGGGTAGGGTGGGATCACATTGAGCATAGGAATATATAGGGAAAAACCTTTAAAAATCTACTTCTCTGGAAAAGCAAAGGCATGATTTATATGAGAGCATCCTCTGGTAGTAGAGATTAACAATTCTTCAAATCACAGCCTCCAAAGGCAGGGTGGAGTCACAATGGACTATCAAAGTTTTACATAGGAATATACCTATAGGAAAAGTTTTTTAAAAAATCTTCTTCTCACAAACAGCATGATCAGTCATATTTATATGATAGTGTAGATTCAAGTTTGTTCTAATCATGGCCCAGACCAGGGGTAGGGTGGGACAACAATAGGTGATCAGAATTTTCACATAGGAATATATAGGTATAAATCTTTTTCTTTAAAAATCATCCTTTCAACATTAGCAAGGCCATGGTTAGTCATATTAATGTAGAAGCACCCTTAAGTAGTTTAGATTCAAGTCTTTTTTTTTCAAATTATGACTCCTGGGGGTAGGGTGGGGCCACAATAGGTGATCAAAGTTTTAAATAGGAATATATAGGGAAATAATCTGCTGATGAAGAAAAGTAGGGCTAAAGTGACTTAGGTGAGCGATGTGGCCCATGGGCCTCTTGTTTTCTGTAGAAAGTTTGCAGACATTGGGAATACTGTAAAACATCAGTATGAGAGAGGAATATACAAGATCAGTTCCTGGGCAGACATTGTCAACTGTCATCCTGTCCCCGGGGAGGGGGTCATACAAGGTCTCAAGGAGGTGAGTGGTTAAAAATTATTCTCAATTGTCATATAATTTTCATGGAAGAACTATTACATGGCCTGAGGTGAAAAGTTAAGAACTGTAACTTGTAACCTTGTCTAGTGAGTTGAATATGCAGAGTCTGAAATAATGAAATGAAAATGATGACAGTGTTATTTTTTAATTTAATTTTTGTTTAGGTACACTACAATGTAAAAATGATGAAGTGTTGATAGAACATGCAGTACAGTTAACCAACATTCCTTCTTTTGTAGCTAAATTTGTAAAATATTGATGTGACCTACAGAATTTCATTTTGATGGTTTTCTATGCAAGGTTTTTATACAAAGATCTTCTTCCTCTCAGGTTGGTCTTCCACTAAACAGAGGTTGTTTGTTAATAGCAGAAATGAGCTCTAGTGGTAGTTTAGCAAAAGATGAATACACGAAAGGTAAGTTTTGAATATATATCTTTTTAATAATAGTAAAAAACTATATTCATGTACATACATATACAGTTGAACTTCGATATCTCGAATACCATGGATATGTTGACTGATTTGGAAGTCCCATCCACTTATTCTTTAAATATTTTACCCTTGATATCTCGAATGCTCGGATATCTCGAAGTTCTTGGTCTCATTAGGTTCGAGATAACTAGGTTTTGCTGTAGATGGATGTGAAACAATGTCAAAGTACTGGATTGAAAAACCATTTATGGCAAGGAAAAAATAAATTTAAAGTTTGCTGAAAGATCATGACCCCACTCAAATACAAGGTCATGACTTATTAATAATACAAATTCTGATTTGATGTAAGAAACACATACTCTTTCAGTGGAATAGTGATAACATGTACTTGTATTGTTTTTAAAGCTGTTGTCAGTATGGCAGAGAGACACAAGGACTTTGTTGTGGGATTCATCTGTCAATCAAAATTGACCTCTGACCCTGACCTCATCCACATGATGCCAGGTTTGTATTCCTACACTATACCTAGATATACCTACCTTTGATTGAAGTTCATTTACCTTTCATGATGCACAGTTAATATGGTTTAAGATTAGGTATTCATTTTCTGTTTGTTTATTTCATGTAAACAAGTTTTCAACACTAGTTATTTGTGAAAAACATTATATAAAAAGAGACACAGAACAGATAATTGTTATATAAATGGGGGGGGGGGGGGTTATTGTTTTTAGTCAGTCTATTTGCCTATCTAAAACTGTAACCAGGGCCATAATTTGGAATTAAATGATATTTATGATCAAAGCTACACATGATTATACATTCAAGTCAAAAACCAAGAAGGAGTTTGTCACTTGTTCTATCACAAGGATAAGGTCTTATTAAATGTTACGTATTTCCTCTTGTTTTGATTCTGTTTCCATGGAGCTAGTGCCTCTGAAATTTGCACCCTCAATCTTTCCTATTTTATAGGTGTGCAACTGAATGCAAAGGGAGACAACTTGGGACAGCAATATACATCTCCAGAGGATGCAGTTAAGTCACATGGTGCTGATGTTATCATAGTTGGGCGTGGCATCACCAAGTCAACAGATCCTGTTGCTATGGCAATACAGTATCAAACAGCGGGATACAGGGCCTATCAAGAGCTATTACAGTGAACTTTAAGTTTAAAGTGACTGAACTGTTATATAATTATATTTGTTTGTGCCAAGCATAACCAGATTTTCTAAAAATATTGGTAATATTTGATGGTTTAAAAGGAGATATTTCATTATTGCAGAGAGTCTTGCAACTTACATGTATGAGTTCATTTAAAAATGTGTTCAAAATTTGTCAATATCTGTAAACTTTATCATGTTAATCTGTCTATTCCTCTATTGTAAGTATTTTCATCCCAAAATATGATTCTTAGAATCAATATTACCTACTTTATAGTAGTGGTTCAGGTGGAGAAACTTAAATATGAATAAATAGATTTAAAACATTGGAGTGTTATATTCATTGTGGTTTTAATAAAAATCTACCTTGTAGTCTTATCTAAATCTCGAGACCTTTTCTGAGTAGTAGTACCCTAGATAACCTTAATGTAGCTCCAACAGATTGTCAGGGATGTACATGTTTATGCATTACACTGTACCACAATTAGACTTATAAATTGTCATTCCCTACTCAAGCATGGTACGGAGACGTGGGCCTTGGATGAACTTTGTCTTTTGTCAGTCTTGTGTCAGTCTGTATGTACAGGTGAACTTCAGTATCTCGAATATTGATATTTCGAATACCTTGGCTATATCAAAGTGATTTCGTAGTCCCTACCACTTTTTTTTTAAATGTATTTTAACCTGAATGTTTTGAACTGACGGATATATCAGTTGTTTTTTTTTCTCAGTCCCATCAACTTCAAGATAACAGAACTGTTTACTCTTACGATTTTGCCATATTTTGTACAGATTTTGAGTCCAAAATATGTCTCACATTTTTCTGTTATGAAAATACGAAAAATGGAATCTGTTCATGTGGATTTGACGCTTTTTACGTAATCACTAAAAAAGGAGAAAGATTTCAAACACTTGAGTGATGTCGGGTTGCCTAAATGCGGTGGTGTGCAATCTTTATATATTTTATTGAATTGTTTTGTTAATTAAATCATGTTTTTCTTTGTTATTAAACCATGTTTAGGTAATCAGAAATGTAGTTGTTCTCTAATAATATATGTAAAATCGATGGAAAGTGAAATCTTACTGGCAAGTGCCAAATCTCATTGACAAATCTAATAAAAAATACTCAGAGACAATATGGGTAAACAGGTCTGAGATAATCAGGTTTGACTGTATATGTTTCTCTGTGACACCTATCTGTAAACTCACCTCTTAATCTTTTTTTCCAGAACCTGAGTTAATCTAACCACCAAGTAATATTTTTTTTAAACTGAAGGGCCACACCTCTTTTTAAAGAGGAGGGAAAGAAAAAATATTGCATTGGATGCATATAACAGTCATTTTACAGAAGATAGCTAATTTGGGGTATATGAAAAAAAAAATCCTGACAAAGATACATAGCGGGTTCCAGCAAATGTTCTACCAAGCCTCTTTCTTTACTCCTCACTAAAATATTTACTGTAATGAAGGAGAAACTTGAGGAGTACTGTACAACAGTATATTCGAGAAGTGTAGATCAGATGTGGATACTTAAAAACTCCAAAGAACTTTTAGAAAATTTGAAATCACAAATTTTACTAAAATCAATGACATCAAAACGTACGACTTTTCAACACTTTATACAACCATTTCCCACAATAAATTGAAGTCCAGGCTTATTGACATCATAGGCAGCTGCTTTTTCAATAAAAATGGAGCTCGTAAATATACTTACCTTGGCATTGGTCATTTGCAAAATTATTTTGTTAAAAAGCATTCTGATTGTACACACAAGTACATGTACTCTGAAGTTGATATTAAAAAGATGCTTGTGTTTCTGATTGACAATATCTATGTAGTTTTTGGAGATCATGTCTTCCAACAATCTGTTGGAATTCCCATGGGTACCAATTACACCCCTTTATTAGCAGACCTATTTTTGTATTCATATGAAGCAGAATTTATTCAAAAACTTCTACGAGAAGAAGAAAACACTTGCTGTGGCCTTCAACTCGACATTTCGATATATCGACGACGTATTATCAATTAACAATAGTTACTTTCATTCATATCTCGACTTTATATATCCCAGTGAGCTTGAAATAAAAGATACCACAGATTTTTACACATCTGTTTCATATTTAGATATTTTACTAGAAAAAGACGTTAATGGTAACCTAACAACAAAGCTTTATGATAAACGTGATGACTTCAACTTTTCAATCGTCAACTTCCCTTACCTAAGTAAATATATACCCTTATCACCTGCATATGGGGTTTATGTCTCTCAGTTGATTCGATACGCAAGAGCATGCTCTACGTATGAACGATTTCTAAAACGAGGCAAGCTATTGACAAACAAGTTGATGAAACAAGGATATCAACAGTCTCGTTTGAAGTCATCATTTCGCAAGTTTTACGATCGATACAATGACCTTGTCAGCACATACAACCTATCATTGGGTCAAATGCTGACTGACGCTTTTCATACTAATTGTTAGACCATTATTTATACACTGAACTGTATATGGATTTTTCCATAGCTCCAACCAATCAAAAGTTATGGGCAATGTTAAAGTTTTTGCAGACAAACAGACGGACAGGACAAAAACTAAATACCCCTGAATCTTCGATTACAGGGGCATTAAACATGATTCATTGTTTTGACTCATTATTTTATTCTTGTTAACTTTAAAATAATAAAAAATGAATTTGTATATGTTGAATTTTAGAGTTGAAATTGATCTTTGAAGTCATAAATAAGATGATGTTTAAAACTGCAAATTTATTTGCGATTTTTATGCCCCCGTATCGAAGATTCGGGGGTATATAGTTTTTGCCCTGTTCGTCCATCTGTCTGTTTGTCCGCAAAAACTTTTAACATTGATCATTACTTTTGATTGGTTGGAGCTATAGCTTCCATATTTCACTTGTATATTCCTTGTGACAAGACCTTTCTTTGGGTACCATCATATTTGACCTTTTGACCTTGACCTTGGAGTTTAACCAGTTTTACAAAATTTTACCCAACTTTAACCTTGGTCATAACTTTTGAACAGTTGGTGCTAGTGTTTTCACACTTTTCATGTGTAATCCTTGTGACAAAACCTTTCTTTGGATACCAACAATTATAGCCCATTGACCTTGACGTTTGACCTCTTTTGGAAAACTTAACCTTTGCCATTACTTTTGAGCAGTTGGTGCTAGGGCTTTCATACTTCGCATATGTATTACTTGTGACAAGACCTTCCTTTAGATACCAACAATTATAGCCCACTGACCTTGACGTTTGACCTACTTTTGGAAAACTTTAACCTTTGCCATTACCTTTGAGCAGTTGGTGCTAGTGATTTCATACTTCACATATGTAATCCTTGTGACAAGACGTTCCTTTGGACCAACAACTTTGATCCTTTGACCTTGACCTTGGAATTTGACCTATTTTTGAAAAACTTTAACCTTGGCCATATCTTTTGAACGGTTGGTGCTAGGGCTTTAAATTCAGATTTCACATATTTATTTTCTTGTGAGAAGGCCACTAATTCTGACCATTTGACCTTGATGTTTGACTTACTTTTCAAAAACTTTAAACTTTTCCGTATCTTTTCAATGGTTGCTTCTAGGACTTTGATATTCCACGGGTATATTCCTCCGGACAAGACCTTACTTTGGGTACCAGCATATTTGATTTGCATTTGAGAAAGTTTAACCTTCTCTATAAGTTGCCATACGGGGGCATCAGTGTCTTGTTTTTTAATGTAGAATAATTGATAAAAGAGATGCAATATAATGAAATTGCTCAGATTTGAAAAACGATTGTTTTTAACAATATGACAATGATTATTTAGGGCAATTGAAAAGTTAAAAGAAAAAAATCTTCCATTAGACTTTAAGAGAATGAAAAAAATATTGTAATATCGTCAAACAGCCGGGGCGGATCCAGCAATTATTAAAAGGGGGTTCCAGGGTGGTGCCCCCCCCCCCAACTCATAGAATCACAAACACAGGGAGAGAAAAACTCTTATGCATATATATTCCCTTGTTTAACATGCATGCCCCATGTGTGTGTTCATCTCACACGTGTAATATATTCTAGCACTGATGTAGCGACTGATACGGAGAAGTCAGAAAAAAAATCCAATACAAGATTATTAATGCAAACAATGGTAAGATCAGTTTAAAACAACCAATGTGAACTTTGATTCTGTTTTAAGGTGACTATATGATACTGTAAACCAAACATTATTTGCAACAACTTTTTTTTTTTACGTTTCGTCAATTTGCAATTTTTCTGCGAGTATTACTTTTGGTGGCTGGGGAAACATTCTACATAAATACACAAATAAATGGTTCGTGGTGAAAAATATTCGCGGGTAAAAGAATGTCGTGAATCTGGCGGATATTTCTAGCACGCGAATAAAAGTTGCTTTACATTACATAAGATCACAAGATGTTCCCAAAATAATATTAGGAAAATATGATTATACAATTCAATTAAAATTAGATAAAGTAAATTACCTGCAATAATAATTCAGGTTAAAATGTAGGGAATTAATTAAAACTAACACTACATGTACAAATCAGTTTATTTTTGTTGCCAATACAGAAATTGAATAATTTTCAATGTAACATATATAAACTTTGTTATTTAGCCTTTGCAGAAAGATAGCGGCCAATACAGCCATGAGGTTTGAAGCCATCTGTCAAAACATTGGAAGTTACTTTGTGTACAGCAGTGTTATATGAGGCACCAGTGAACTCAGTCTGCATAAAAATGTAATTCGGGACTAATACAAAATTGAAATAAATGACTTTTAACTATGTTTATGAAATCAATGTCCCATGAAAAATCTGCGGAATTTCTTGTGTTTACTGGATATCTTCAATGCTAATGGTAACCGTCAAATTGAAGGTACAATTAAACTTAGATGTTTAAGTAAATCATTTTTTATGTCACACTTAAGGTAGTCCGATCCTCAGGTTCTGAAAATCAGCTTTTAAGTGAAAATGCTCACAAAAATGTCTCTGATTTCACATAGTAACGTGAATTTACCCATGGAATTTCTTCAAAGTTCATCATTATAGTTAATCATATTGAATAGGGAAAGTAATCAAATCTCAAATATATTTTCAGGAAATGCGAATAAAAACACCAGTTATGCATTTTCTAATTGAAAATTGATCAACAAATAAAATTTAGGATACGCAGCACAGTTAAGGCTGCAGTAAGGAGGCGGAGCCTAATTTATACGGGAAATGCTTATTATGACATCACACAAAAATATAAAGGTTTTCAAATTACCACAAAATGAAATGATTTGCTATTTTAAACTGTTGAATAGCTTTA